AGTGAACTCAAGCACGTACACCAAGCTCTTAGGGCTAATGGTTACTCCGACTATACAATCCGCAAAGCTATCACTCAAACCATGAAGAAGAACCCTCTTGAGGAGCCTTTCAAAACCATCACTTTACCCTACATTGCTGGGATCACAAAAAAGATCTCCAAAATCTTGAATAAACACAAGATCCAGGTCCGTTTCAACACATTACATAAAATCCGTGATCTGGTTCCGTCTGTAAAAGATGTGATTCCGGACATACAATACCCTGGTGTCTACAAACTAAGTTGCCTCTGTGGTAGTAGTTACATTGGAGAAACCAAACGCCATATCTCGGACCGCATTCGTGAACATAAAGCAGACCTTAAACACGGTAGGACCAACACCTCGGCCGTAGCAGATCATTGTTCTAATTCAGTAGGCTCACATGCCATTGACTTTTCCAAGACGGAGGTTCTTTGTAAGCCATCTGGCTTCCATGAGAGATTCGTTCATGAGGCTATCCACATATACAAACACAGAGACAATTTCAACCGAGAAGATGGATTCTATCTTAGCAATCATTGGAAAGATTTGATAAATCATTTCAGTTCTTGATTGATTGTTCACGCTTACAGTGCCTTTCAGACAGCATACATAAAAACAAATTTCGTCTCCCCCCTCCTCTTTTCAAAAAATAGATGGACTAGTCCTGGCAAACTGCCATCGTTGCGCGTGACGCAAACGTTATTTTTATATATATAAATAAATATGCCGTTTTCAAAATAAATTTATGCAAACCGACACACCTGATGATGACCGTTTGAGTTATGGTCGAAACGTCGTGAGAATTTTTTATTGTTTTATATATATTTTGTTATTTTGTTGTTTCTCTTCAACGTGACTTTACCGAAAAAACTAAGAATATGAATTACTGCAGTCACGAAAGCTTTAAATCAAAATTTAATCGCCTCTACGGGGAGGGTTTTCACATAACTTTAAGATCTTTCAACAAACTCCGGGATAAGAAAGCTCAGCTGATCGAGTCTCTCACCTTCCTGAAGAGATGCCGCGACTCTGGGGTAATACCAATCGCATTTACACTCACCTCTGCTACTGTAACTTCTTCTAATGCGAAACGAATTCTTTTCAAAACTAGCTTAGCTCTTATCTCAGAAAAATCAGACTTATACGCACAGAACTAGATCAGTTAGACAAGACACTCTACAAATCACACTTATCATTGACGGCAATAATGTCCACATCGGATTGGGAACATGTAGACAATATGACTGCCTCTTCAGCTGCTACTATGTCGACCAAATGTAAGGAAAACCTGATTTCCAAATTTAACCTCCTCTTAAACAAAAGACCGGACCCACACACCAAAAAGTTAGACGTTAATAAAGTCGTAATTAATCGCAGTAACAGTTCTATTTCCGATGGTCTGAAATCCGTTTTAGCTAAAGGTCTAAACTTTGCAGTCACACCTAAACACATACCAGTTAATGATATAATTGCCCAAGTAGACGTTGCTCTCAGGGGCCTGGGTCACATCGCTGCAGACGTAGCAAGATCTGAAATCGCTGCAACCCTCAAAAACGCTAAGATGCCAGCTAGCAACCTCAGCAAAGATGAGCGTTTTGAATTATATAAATTAAAAAAGAGGAATGATATTGTAGTTCTCTCAGCTGACAAAGGCAATGCTACTGTTATCATGGATAAAATAGAATACAACAACAAAATTAAAGAATTACTCGACGATGGTAGTTATACAAAAATAAAAAGAGATCCCACCAACAGCCTCGTCACACAAACCAACAAAATAATTTCTGATTCAACCGCATTAATTGATCAATCTAAACAGTTTTCGTTGAAACCTTCTGCTGCCAGGCCACCAAGATTATACGGCTTACCAAAAATACATAAAGTTGATACACCTCTTCGTCCCATAGTCTCTACTATCAGCTCCCCCACCTACAAACTAGCTCGTTTTTTGTCTGAAATCCTGCGTCCTTTCACTGGAAAGACCACCTCTGCGGTACAAAATTCTACTCACCTGGTATCAACAATCAAGGGTATTTCCCTGTCCCCAGACGACCTGCTTGTCAGTTTTGATGTAGTTTCCTTATTCACCAAGGTTCCTGTACCTGACACCATTGCAATCATTGAAGACTTGGTTCATCAAGGACTAAACACTGAGGTACCCCCCCTGGTGAGACACTGTTTAACCAATACATACTTCACTTGGAATGGAACTTTCTACAAACAAACTGAGGGCACCCCAATGGGCTCCCCCCTTTCTCCAGTTATAGCTAACATTTTCATGGAGAAATTTGAGACTGACGCCATCCAGACTGCCACTCTGCGCCCAACCTTATGGAAGAGGTACGTGGATGACACTTTTGTCATCTGGCCACATGGCCGGCCTGCTCTAGACAAATTCTTCGACCACATCAATTCCATACACCCAGCCATCAGATTTACCATGGAAGTCGAAATAGATGGCAAGATACCTTTTTTGGATGTCCTAATTAAAAAGAGACCTGATGGTTCAATGAGCCACTCTGTCTACAGGAAAGCTACCCATACGGATGCTTATCTGAAACCGGATTCCCACCACCATCCATCACAGAAGAATTCTCTCATCAAGACTCTGTATCATAGAGCCCAATGCATATCCGACCAGGAACACATAAGCAGTGAACTCAAGCACGTACACCAAGCTCTTAGGGCTAATGGTTACTCCGACTATACAATCCGCAAAGCTATCACTCAAACCATGAAGAAGAACCCTCTTGAGGAGCCTTTCAAAACCATCACTTTACCCTACATTGCTGGGATCACAAAAAAGATCTCCAAAATCTTGAATAAACACAAGATCCAGGTCCGTTTCAACACATTACATAAAATCCGTGATCTGGTTCCGTCTGTAAAAGATGTGATTCCGGACATACAATACCCTGGTGTCTACAAACTAAGTTGCCTCTGTGGTAGTAGTTACATTGGAGAAACCAAACGCCATATCTCGGACCGCATTCGTGAACATAAAGCAGACCTTAAACACGGTAGGACCAACACCTCGGCCGTAGCAGATCATTGTTCTAATTCAGTAGGCTCACATGCCATTGACTTTTCCAAGACGGAGGTTCTTTGTAAGCCATCTGGCTTCCATGAGAGATTCGTTCATGAGGCTATCCACATATACAAACACAGAGACAATTTCAACCGAGAAGATGGATTCTATCTTAGCAATCATTGGAAAGATTTGATAAATCATTTCAGTTCTTGATTGATTGTTCACGCTTACAGTGCCTTTCAGACAGCATACATAAAAACAAATTTCGTCTCCCCCCTCCTCTTTTCAAAAAATAGATGGACTAGTCCTGGCAAACTGCCATCGTTGCGCGTGACGCAAACGTTATTTTTATATATATAAATAAATATGCCGTTTTCAAAATAAATTTATGCAAACCGACACACCTGATGATGACCGTTTGAGTTATGGTCGAAACGTCGTGAGAATTTTTTATTGTTTTATATATATTTTGTTATTTTGTTGTTTCTCTTCAACGTGACTTTACCGAAAAAACTAAGAATATGAATTACTGCAGTCACGAAAGCTTTAAATCAAAATACCTGTATTTTGTTTTGTCTTAGTTTAGTCCCCATTGAAAAACCATATTCCTATATAAATCTTACAAAATATTAACCCAGACATCTCACAGGCCTAAAAAAAAATGCAAAACTCTTTTCACCTTATCATATACTGTAATGTTAATAAGGTGGCCATTATTATTATGGTTATCAGTTCATCTGTAATACTAGTTTCTGTTAATGAACATAAATGCACTCTGCTTATTAAAATGTGGAGAAGCATATGGGAAATGCTCTTCGTAGTTTTGCACCACCGGCTGGGAGCTTCTTCAGGAGCTTCTGGAGCGAAACGTTGGACATCATGCCAAACAAACAGGACGCACTGCAGCCCGAAAACCCGTTGGAAGAGCTGTCAAGCACAAACCACGCAAAAAAACCGACCCAGTCAAATAATTTCTGTCTCGTGTGTAAGCATGTTGAGCTTCTTTCGCAACGTACGTGCTAATTGGAGGTGCGGTTAGGCCTCGGCAAGGTAAGGTAAAAACAACGAGCCTACTTTTACCCGACCTTTTACCTTACCACAATACAATCACTCTACCCTTACCTTTTACCCTTTAGCAAGGTAAGGTAAAAGTTAAAAGATCAAAAGCAACGAGCCTACCTTTACCCTACCTTTTACCCTTACCCCATACAAATTACCCAATTACAGGGTAATTACTGGGGTACTACAGGTGGAAATGGTTTATAACAGGTAAATGCTAGGCATAGCGCTTTATATATATAAAATGGAAATTTGTGAATGTGTGTCTGTTTGAAATGTTTAGCGTACTTCCCGACATGGAATAAACTTGAAATTTGGCATATGGGAAGTTTCCAAACTGTACACAATGCAAAAAAGTATATAAATAGACTTTTGTATTTTGGGGGGGGGGGGGGGGGCAATAATGGAAATAATATTTTGCACGGTAACGTCACATCTGTGATGTCACCCGCACGCGGCAGCGTCACACAGTGTGCCTGCTGACGTCACGCATGCCCCCCTCACCCTCCGCGTAGGCCGTGTATTAATCCAAGAAAAAGAATCCAAGTCTCCGGCGAAGCCGGGTAGTAAAGCTCGTATAGAATACTCTCGATGATTCCAATTTTAAATGGAGGCCACGGACTGCACCACGGTTCTTTTAGCCAGCGGTAAACAAGGTACTTACCGCGTAATACTTCGCGCTTCCTTTACCCTACCGGGTAATTCTTCTGTGCTACCTTTACCCTACCCTTTACCTTACCCAAAGGCATGTCGACACCTTTACCCTTTTACCCGGTAAAAAGGGTAAATGACGTTACCTTGCCGGGGCCTAGGTGCGGTCAATCATTCGCGACGCGGGTAAAAGTACAAAACGCAGTGCATCTCCCTGCTGCCGCCATAGGAGCCTCACGTTGTCGCAGAAGTGCCCCGCAAGACCGGAGAAGCCGGGGAGGTCAGAGCAGCGAGCCAGCTCTGCCCAGGAGCGGTTGTCGAGCAAGGCCGGCGCAGGGTTGGAGGAGGGACTGGGCAGCGCCACGCCGCCCGTCAGCAGGAAGCGCCAGTCGGCGTCGCTCACGCGGCCGCGGCTGCGGGCCAGCCCCACGCACAGCAGGAACGAGAAGAGCAGCTTGTCCTTCTCGAACAGTGAGCGGCACACGTTTGTGTAGATGCTGTCCGGGCCGCGCACACAAAGTCACGTAGGTATAAAATAAAATTAATCTATTTTATTTTATACCTGCGTGACTTTACCGAAAGAACCAAAGAGTATGCAATAACAGTGAGTTAAGTGAGAACCATTTGATATGAGTGCGTTATTGTATTAGCCGCATAATTGTCGGTGCTAGTAACATTATCTACCTTAGCTGGTACCAATTTCTGCTATGGCTCATGGACTAACAGTGACATCCGAATGTGCTAATGAAATTTAAGAACATGTAAATTTTGACCATTAAAGGCAGAGTGTTTTCAATACATTTTACGTTAAAGACAACCACTTTTTTCTAATTAGTGAATGTGCAACACAACGGCCAAAAATTATCTCAACAAAAGTCGTTCTGGTCTAAACTCGAGTTGATTTAAAAATCGAATTTCAATGCTTGACATTTCAACCGGAGGGGTAGTGCAGTGGACTGCGACTGCACTACGAACCCGGTCCTGGCTGCCCCATTCACAGTTAGGGCATGGGGAGGCCTTCATCTGACAGTGGATTGACAAAGGGGTGTATTTATTGGTATTATTACATACTTAAATATATTATATATGGTTGCTAAATTAAGTTGAATACATTTCGATTGATGTTTACAATTCGCTGCAGAAAAAATATGTATTTGTTTATCGTAGCCTCTGTAGCATAAGCACCAATGAGTGTTAAAATGTCAATTATTTCTGAGTGTATTTTTTTGTAAAAAGTCTGAACAATTGCACGTTTGGCATTATTCATGTTGTGTATTATACAGAAAATACATTCACATATAAGCTTGTACAAAACATTGCTTCCAAAAATGAAGTGTTTAGTAACACTAAATTGGCATGCATCATTACAAAGAGCACCAAATGAAGACCAGTTAAACATTATTCATGAATCTCATAACAGCAAGGACTAAATCTTCTCGGTAGAGATCAGGCATACCCTGACCATATTGTGGCAACCGTTAATGAAACTGAAATGGTATCTTTTCATTGTTGCATACAAGATTACACAACTAAAAAAACGTATTTCTATACTAAAATTTTAACTGACCCAATTAGCAGTAATGCCATTCTAAAGGCAATGTATTGCCAAATTAGGTGTGAAATAAGGGCGTATTACTTTTTAAAAAATCCCAAGAGCTTATTGATGCCGCTAAAATGAATTGTTCAATGCCAGGTGGCACGTTTTTAACTGGCTCGAGTCTTTGTAAACACACATGAGAAGCTCTGCAATGGTTGAGTTCCAGAATTGCTTATCGGGTGAAAGCAGGTGGCACCATCAACTGGTTTGTGGCTTCTTATTGAGCTGCACAGGAAGTGCAATTACTTCATGATTTAGGATTGATCCCACCGCATGAAACACAATCCTCTGCAACGACTTCATCCCAATGTTGCCCCTAGAGCCATTATATTCACAAAACATGGCCTAAATAATCAGAGGCTATGGCATGTCGAAGTGCATTATCAGCAACTGCTATATCTCATTACTTTTTGAAGCCATTAGCTGATTCAATGTCTACTTGCGACGATGTAGCGAGGAATACAAATCACGCATATGCACGAGGTTCTGCCAAGGTTTTTAACATGGGTTTTGCCTTTGGACATATATTAGGGATGCAGAAAGCCAACGCATAACTGCATGCAAAATGCCTTTGTGCTGGATTATGTCCTACAAGTTTGGGCAACCCCTCGGATCAATTTGGCCAGACTTCTTTTGCGCAAGTCCCAAATTCACAACACGACGTTTAACTAAAAGTTCAATTTCTATTGGATCACCATCAAAAGCATCATTATGGTCCCATGATTCAGGCAGACGGAAAAGGCTTATGCATTAACGCTTTCACCCTCAGTTGGAAAGAGTTAAACTTGTGGAAGGCACTCGACTCTCGAGCCTCCATTATCATTCATAACACACGCAGGCTATAAGGTTGAGCTCAATTATAATCCTAACATCTACAGTTAATGAGAATTCCCCTGAACAGCCCCTCCCCACCCGGCTCACATTAAGGCCAAGTGTGGGAAGAGCTCAAACGCTGCAATTAGCTGAGAGAACAAAAATAAGACGTGAAAATCACCATACAAAAATATATCCAACAAAGACAAATGACCAATATTACACAAGTGAGGGGATGGCAGACCAAGGTTGTCATTTGTTTGGTGATTTAAAATCGCATTTTTTGTTCTGAATGTGAAATCATAACCTATATCTACCGAAAGTTTAACACAAATCTCCCAGCTCAAGCGGGCACTGGGCACAATGTACAGTATAGCTATTTGGCAGTCCTGAGACGGTGGCAAAAATGTCACTCTCCCCCGGTGGAGGCCAGCGTCTCTAGAGGATGGCCACTGTTGATCTCCCACGAAGTGGAACTTATTTTACAGACTCTGGGGAGGGGGAGAGGGAAACATCAATGGACTTGATTCCGGGCAGTAATTTGAACTCACAACCTTCTCGAATGCCAGTGGAGTTCAGCCTGAGAAGGTTCCGTTGCAGACCACTGGTGGTCCAGGGACCACACTTTGGGGAACCACTGCTTAGGATCGACGAGCACGAAGGCAACAAATCTGTGAAATCTCTAACGCTTTGGTGGCAATACACGTTCACCATAAATCCGTTAACCTACGTGTGGGGTTACGTTAAATAACGCCAACAGCAGCTTACACAGATTAGCATTATTTTTTTGCCACTTTCTGATATGTGTAGACATTTCTTTCTCATCAGGACTAAATTGCTTTGCGTGAACACACGTTTATAATGTATCTGTAATTGTATTTTGACTTCAACGAATAATTTCACGGCTGGAACAAGATGTAGGTTTTCTTGGTTCTTTCGGTAAAGTCACATGACTTTACCGAAAGAACCAAAAATATGAATCCCTGCAGTCACGAAATGTTTAAATCAAAATTTAAGATGTAGGTTGTGACAAACATTATATGCTAGACAAACTACATAACTTAATTATGTCACAGCTAAATGCATAATTAATTATGCTTACAAACGTAGTTATTATAAGAATGATGTTACCTATTAAAAAAAAAGATCTGTGTTTGAGCTGATATCTGGTGCACCCCTATAATTGTATAAATCTGCCCCCCCCCCCCGCCCTGAGCTAATTAGAGCTCTCCACTTTTGCTGAGTTTACTTATACCCAGCGCCACCAGTGCGCATCGTTCATATTCACGTGCAACTGGAAAACCCACACAGCAGAGGGTGCAAGCGCACACAGAGCTACGGGCACAGCCCCCCCCCCGCCCCCACGCCCTTGGTAATGTTCCCACCGCACACCTGCAAGTGAAGTGACTGTTGAGGGCCTCAGTGCGTTCGTGCAGGACACTGGAGGGCCGGCTGGAAGCGATGGACTGCACATACTGCCCGATGAACCATGCCAGCGAGTACTGGTACATGGGGTCCACATGCGCCAGGTTGGAGATGACGAAGAAAAGGACACTGGAGTGTGACGCCACCTGCCAAGGAAGACAAATTGTGGACAGGAAGACGATTTTTGGTGCTGCGGCGTGCGAGATGTTAACTGCCTCGCCTGGTGTACAGGCGCTCGTGGGTTCGACCCCGACCCTGATGCCTGTATATTTGTTTGCATTATTCTCCACCGGGTCGTGTGGATTTTTCTCTGGGTCCTCCGGTTTTTTTCCCTCCACACTCAGCAACATGCGTTTAAGAGTATTTGGCTGCTATAAATTACCGCGTGTTAAGCCACTTTATTTGTTACCAAGTCGCTTCTGAAAAACAGCTATACAGCTCAGTGGGCCTGATCTGGTAAAATGGTTTAGTTTAGTTTTAGAATGCGAGGCAAGAACATGAGGCACTCTCAAACACCAATACATATTGAAGGGACTGCGTTGTGAAATCAAGAGTGGTGGACAAGCACATTTAAAAATACCTTGATTAACACGACTTTTTAACAAAACGATATATTAGTGTAAAATTAGGACAATGGTCTTTCTCACAGCAGATAAACAGACTATTTCGTAGCCACATATATGCAATGAATGATATGGTGCTGCTGCATTGGCAGTGGTACGCAATAACAATTAACATAAAAGCTCGATTATACACAGGCACCCTGAAATTTAAAAATCCTCCTCCCCCAGCCTGCGTTCAGAACTGAGTGCTACAATTAGCCAGGAAGAGAGCACAAGAAAAGCCAATACATACACACGAGCAACGTCATGAAATGTAGAGGAATGGAAATACAATACCCCCTTACAGAACAGGTGCCCTCAAATGAAAAACCTGTTATGTAATTACATAGTTTGTTTGCTGTGTAATATAAAAAAAACAAAGATCATATCTCAATGATGTGTCTGAAATTCCCCTGTGTCTTTCGGGCACCGCATTGTTCAACGCATCCTCCAAATTTAAAGGGCCACTTGCGCAGAACGTTTACCCGCTTAACATTATTTTGCAATATACCGAAAACACGTGCATTACGTAAACTCTTCATGAGACGGTGGACGGCTCATGAAGGCATTCACCTGGCGGTCGATTAATCAGGGCCGACCGAGAAGGATTTTGTGAAGCAGCTCTCGAATATCAAACCTCTCCAGCCCACCTTCTTCCACAGTCCAACCCAAAGTCCCGAAGAAGAACTTACGGGTTTGTATCCATTTCGGGTTTCATCGATCTGCTTCTCGGTGCGCACTGTGACCTCCTGCTTGTCGGCAATCTCGCTGGACAGCTGTCGGCTGGATGACAGGATCGCAATGGCCGTCTCGTCCTCAAGAATGTTGCCTTGCGACGTGGACAGCACCTCCAAGATCTGGTCTTCCAGCTCTTTCAGCTGTTTCCTGCAACATCCGTTCAACAGTACCGGGTTATTGATGGATTACTCCAGATACTGAGTCCGCATGAACCATCACACTCTCTCCATCAACGTACTTTGATTTTTGCGTTCAAGTTTGCTGTCCGTCCCCGCACCTCCGATTAACACAGGTGGTTACGCATGGAGCGAAAGAAGTTCAACATACATCAACAATATAATAGTTTCATAAAACTACAGAACCTTTAATACCTCCCTTTAGATAAGGATATAGGATTTGCATTATTACGGTGCTCGCTTAAATACCTCGGAAACCCAAGTGCCTTACATCTCATCTCACCTATTCCAATGCCACGTTCCAGTCAAGCGCAGTGGGAGCTGTCACTGTGTGACAGAAGGTGGACGCAGCACCAGCCCTGAACATGGGCAAGTATGCCAGTAGGGGGCAATGTTGCTACGTGGTATTCATAGAATCACGGACTGTTGGAACGATCACGGAATAAATTTAAGACAGCGTGAAGAGACATAAAATAAAAACACGCAAAGATTGGGCAGCGAGAGAGATGGGACGTTGAGATAATGGGACACTGTAAATAATTTAGTAGGAAAACCATCGAAGAGACTGAACATGAAGGAGAGAACAGAGAAGGAATATGGAGAGAAGTGAAAAGTAGAGAAAGAGAAAAACAAACATTAAAATGCAAGACCTGAAAAATCACAAAAGGAGGGAGCGAATGAATGGAAACTATTCCATGGAACAAAGTGAAAGAAGCAAATGTAAAACTACAAAATTAATGCTTGGGGATACTCACAGAGAGCCTGAGCACTCATGATAGATGTATAGCCATACCAATTCCTGCTTAAAGCCAACGAAAGTGAATGATGTGCCACAACCTTTAAAGTGAGAACATGATCAGTATTTTTTATTTTTGTTATTCATTACATATTTTGCCACCGTATGTGGCATCAACAAAGTGAACAACCTCGCGAGGGCGAGACTTGTATTGAGCAAGCCCTTCTCAGGGGCCGCCTGCATACCTCTATCACCACACCCCATCACAAGCCTCATGTGCCAACCATTGTCACACCAGGAAAAGATAGTTTGATTTCCCATGTTGAAATTCACATTGAAACACACACTACTGCAGATTATGTCTATGAAACATAGCACCTTTGTGATATATTTGTGCTGTTGGAATGGCGTAAAGATATATTTTTTTTATTTTACCAGGTAAGGCCCACTGAACTATATAGCTATTTTTCAGAAGTGACCTGGCCACAAATGATAGCTCAACGAAGTGGCTTATCATGTGGAAATGTATCGCAGCCAAATACTCTAAACGCGTGTTTATATATGTGCAGGGAAAAACCGAAGGACCCATAGAAAAATCCACGCAACCACGGGGAGAACATGCAAACTCCAAAAATATAGCAGGCGACAGGGTCAGGATATGAACACCGCCACCGTTAAGTACCAATACTTTATTATTAATTATATATTCATTGTTGGGTGCGTTGTGGCTCATTGGCCGTTTTGTAGCATTCAGGTTTGTACAGCACAGCATCACATGCCATCTATTCGCATTTGACATATAACGCGAATAAATACACAATACAGTTCCGCTTAGTAAAGCATAGTTAAAAAAAAATGTATACAATTTTATTTTTTTAACATAAAAGTTCAAATTTATTTTAATTACGACATTTCCGATTCAGTTTGTGTCAATAGAATAATTATTTTTCATTAGTTTCAATTCCAGTCCGCTGATCTTGGATAAAGTATCAATTGCCGTACTTCAAGTTGTGTGCGGAGCGTCTGGGACCACCATGGGCTTGGGAAATTTTTACCACTCGCTTCGGGGCTGGCAAAAGAGACGAGTTTTTGTCCCATCGAGTAGGAGCAGGAAAAGACTTTTAAGTTTCCTTCAAATGCCCATTTCAGGAGGTAAGAGAGGCAAGGAAAGGTGCAGCCCTACAATTAAATCATTTGGCGGGCCCCCGGGGTCCAGCAAAAATCAGGTCAATAATAATAATTATTATTCTTCAGTCCGCCCACTCGTGATCCCGACAGCAACGCGCCGCCCGCCCAGACTCGCGCCAACAAGCGCCAGCAGCAGCAGGCGGCAATCAACACGATGGGCGCCACCCCACCGGCCAAACGCGAGCCCCCGGGGGGGCGTCTGCAGCAGTCGTGCGCGGCGACGACGCCCTCCGGTCAGCCGTCGATCCTCAGCTTCTTTGCCAATGCGAGCCCCCCCCCCCCCCCCCCCCCCCCAGGCAGTGAATTTAACGTGTTTGTGTAATTTTTCAACTTTTACGAAACTTAGTGTCCCCGAGTAGACGAGGCCAATCGATTGACCACTAGTTGTGTTATCGGTAAGGCAAGACTCGTGTCGTCACGCGGGTTTTCCCACCCCGGGGCAGTGATGGTAACCCCGGGGTCCCGCCAATTGCTTCAATTGTCCTCCCGTGCCACTGCTGATGGAAAAGCTCTAGGGAACTCCTCTCTAACGTACTCTCCCACACTGGCCAGACGCGGTTTGAAGAGGTGGGAGTACCCACACTTTACCCCGCCACACGTGACCTGCCGATCGACTCGCTGTGGCGTTGTCCATTCACTCTGCTGGGTAGACAGCGGTGGGGAGATTTAAGAAACCCGCATCATCGTTGCAACTGCCGCGCCGACGAGATCGAACCGGCGACCTCCAGATTGCAAGTCAAGTGTGCTCGCCGTTACAACGCTGTGACGGCATCCTGAAGTAAAATATAAAAACGTTAAAGTTGGAGATAATAAATACATAAATTGCTCATTTGCGAATGTTATTTGCCTCTCATGGAAATTATATGCGAGCTGTGCATCACTGGATGTAAGCCTTTTGTTCAACAATTGCCGGCACATTTATTGAGCCGTTCTGTCAAACACGAAATAAAAATGATAATGGGGAAACACAGGCAAGGCTGCATTGGTGTGAAACAAATATAGGCAATCCCCCACTCGCTGTCCACATTGATCTGGATTCTTTTGCTCAATTTGCACGTTCTGGTTAGCAATGAAACAGCTCTGTACAAAGTAACAAGGGAGGAAACTACTTAATATTCTAAATGAGAAAGTGGAATTGCTATACCCACAAAAGCCTTAATAAAATGACAAAAACCTGCTGGATTCAAAGAGAGAAAAGTGTCAGCACAGCCAACATTCGTGTAATCACAGAGACAGGGAATGGGGTTAGTGGGAGATGTCCTCTCAAAGGAATCGGAGACTTAACCCCAACCAGCAGAAATCAAATTAGGATCCCCGTTGAGCCCCTTTCCATGCCCGACACTGCGTATCACAAAGCACGACTGATAATGCATCCAATAAAACATTCCACCGCGTGTTGCTGTGTTGTCAAGCAATGGCTGGATTTTCCGCATACAAGAGAGGAACTCGTGGAAACTGCAAGAGCTGTTTTTACTTGGGCAAAGCCTTAAAATTATAAGACGTGCTTTTATTCCAGTATTTTTAAAGGTGCAGTTGGGGGGTTAATGTTATAATCCCAGTATATGTAATGAATTGGTGCTGCACAGGCAGTTACCACCATTATCGTATTCTCCCGGATAATAAGACACGCATAGTATCGACAAGGCTCAATTATTGCAACTCACTACTCTACGGGACGTCTGAAAAAAAACCATTACCGAGCTGCAGCTTGCAGAATAATTATTTGGCACGTGTCGTAACTGGTACTGCAAGATCTGACCATGTCCGTCCAGTGCTTGCTGAGTTGCGTTCACTTCCGGTTGCCGAACGAACACATTATAAGGTCGCACTCATTACAAGTGCTTGACAGAAATGAACCACAATACCATGCTGATCTCGTCAAGGAGCATAAACAATCATGTGATCTCAGGTCATCATCGCAGCAGCGGATTTTGGATAAACATCGAACAAAGATGGTCACCGCATCGCGCGCTTTCAGACGCGCTTCTGCGGCCGCCTGGAACGCTCTTCCTTCCGATATTAGGAAGCCACTGGAGCTATGCACTTTTAAATCATCTAGATATAAAATTAATTTCTTTATAACTTATTTTTGTGTTGAGTTTGTTTTCCTTCCCCCGCACCTCCTATTAGCACGGTTGGCTCCGTACGGTGCGAAAGAAGTTCAACGTACATGCATAGTTACTTCCCAAAACCTGGACTAAATTCGCAACTACAGTGCACGCTTCATCCCCTTGTTGACCACCTTCCCAGAACATCGCATCTTCCATATAAAACTTCTTTTTTTCTCCACAAAAACACTTATAGTGTGCATCTTACATTCCACATCGTCTCATAACCCGAAGAATATGGTGCATAATTAGAAAGTATTTTGAAAATGCAGTTAAATGACAATAGTAAGTTAATGACAGTAATACAATGGCAATTCTAAAAACCAACAATACTTTTTGACAATTTTCACTTCCAGACTCTGCTAATAGATAAGCGCAAAAACGGTAAATGTCCACATCATTGAATATAATCCATTCACATGTAAACCAAATCAAGTTAATTGCCATCTTTGTTGAATGGGTAACAACATAACAATTAAAAACTCATGGCCTGCTATGCATTCGGGAAAGCCTTCACTCTAATATTAGCCATGTGTTTGTGGGTAGCTTTGCACATTGGAAGCTCACCCAGCACATGAAGGATGGGAGGAGGGGGCGTGGGGGTGCTGATTAATTCCACAGAAAGCGATTGATGACCCAGGAGCTCGTAGCTTAAAAGTTAACGTTGCTAATGGAAGGAAAATGTGACACAAAATTGTGAGAAATAGCGAACAGAAGCCTTTATCTATGGGAATGCACGATGCACACCACATGACGGTTCTCCTTGGCCTCGATGTGGCTCTATAATTCAAGTGCCCTGAGCAGTCACTTCAGGAGGAATAGTTTTCGCTCAAGTCAGCGGGTTTGCATCTGATTTAATTATATTTTGTACAAAGTCATTATGCCCTGTTGTGGCGCATTATGGGCAATAGCTGTAATAATAAAGACCTCTTCTAGATTTAAAGCTTTCGTGACTGCAAGGATCCATACTCTTTGGTTCTATATTTGGTTCTATATTAGAGTGAATAAAGACCTCTGTTTTGTTGTTGTTCATCTCCACATAACAAATACAATCTTGTGTAACAAGCATGACTGCAAATGACACAAAGTGGAAACCGGTGAAGGGTTTGTTTGATTAAACAAATGCTGTTGGAAAATATCGATCAGGAATGCAAATAGGCCGGTGAATATTTTTTTATTTGTACATGGTGATGTGGGGATGCAGAAATGGAGGATGAAGGTCTCCTGAAGCTCCCATCACCATAGCTGTCAACCCATACGGTTCACTCCGTATTCTTGTTACAGGGAAATTGCGTTTTCAGGTCCATACGGCGGACAGCCGTTTCAATACGGGCAAACTAAATATATTCGTTTGTGTTTCTCCCTTGTGATGGGGCTTTGTAGCATGATCGTTGAGATGTACGGGGTGACCAATAAGGTCTGAATTGGTCTGTAATAAGGTAGGCAAACCAACACACCAGAAGACGACCGTTTGAGTTATGGTCTAAACGTCGTGAGAATTTTTTATTGTTTTATATATTTTATTATTTTGTTGTTTCTCTTCAACGTGACTTTACCGAAAAAACTAAGAATATGAATAAGGTAGGCACTGATAAGGGGTTGACAGGTTTGCATCGCCCTCATGATTCTGCGATGTCAAAATCCACCAAGGACCTCCACACGAACTGATTTTATTACTCCATCTCCTCAATTGCATCCACTCAGAGACATTCCAATTATTTATCTGTTTGCATGTTATTGATTATATAGTCTATGTGCAACGGGAACATGGACCCAAAACACAGGATGCTTTTATTGAGATAATTTTACTTGTTTACTCAGGAAAGCCTCACTGAGTCTCAGGAAAGTTTTTCATGAGGGTCCTGTCAAATTTTCGCATGGGGGGGGGGGGAGGGGTGATGTTGAATGCATAATCCCAACTGAGTAACTTGTAGTGACTTGTTCAGCTTTGGGGATGTTTGACCAGCATCAGTTACATTGGGGTTTTTGTTTTTGCTACGGGAAGACACCAGACAACCCGGAGGGAGACCCACACAGAGACAGATGGAGAACGTGCATACACAAACGATACAAACTGCACACAGAAAGGTTCCCGAGTCGCGAATCGAACCCAAGGCCCTTCTTGCTGTGAGGTGTACGCGCCGCCCTGTTCACTGGCTGTGTGGCACTGGTGGACCTTACCGATTGTGGGCCCCTTCCAGGTAGAGTTGATTTTTGGCCTCCTCTAGCTCCGGCTTTTCCCTTGCTGCCACAATGCTGAGCAGCTGGTCCTCAAGCCCCCGGGGTGTGATCATGAAGTTCAGCAGGGTCACCTGCAGCACAGTTACACGCTTTACAACACCGGGGGCATCTTGGGAGTGTCGCAGGTCCACAGGTACACTCCACAGATAATTATGAAGCCCTTAAAAGAAGGAAAGCGATTGAGAATACATGCCCCAGTTACCGGGGTGATGTCGTGATCACGTAGACTGAAATAAAGAGATAATAGGTGGGTTTTCATACAAAGAAAAGAAAAAGTTCAACAACATTCTGTAAATAAATGGAAGGCTACTCTCCAAAAGTTGTATTTGTTTGGAGAAAAATCTTATTACATTTTTTTTGCAGCTGCATACAAATGGTTTGGCAATTTATTTTATTAAAATGCTCTGTTAAACAATTACGTACCATTCTATTTTGTTGGCATAAATGCAGTTTAGTAATAATCTCTACAAACAAATCAAAAGGCAATTATAGTGTTAAATCAATAACTTCCAAGCACGACCTTAAAACCAGAAGATTCAGGGCACTCGTTAACATCAGCCCAGATCTATCCACTGCTGGATGAAGACCCTCCACATGCTGGCATTATACCTTACCGTCTTCATCCATCTCAGGAGAATAATCCTCCGCATGAGCTAATTGCGTAACTCTATATCCGCCCGTGGTCATCCTTTTTGGGACGTTCTTCATCTTGGCTGCAATTCCGTCACTAGTTTTGTCCATCTGTTGTCTCCCCCTCATAGCGACAGCCCGCTCATGGCCACCGTGCTTGCCTTAACATTCAATATGAGGCCTCGTAATTTGCATTAATTATCTCATCCACGCGTCCCACTTTCAGAGTAAGTCCTACCGTGCACAGGACCGGTTCGGGTATCACTCTCCACTGATGTTGGTTGTGGCGCGATATTGTACTCAGTCGGGTAAAAAAATTAAAGTGCTGTTCCCTGCGCCACTACTCCCTCCTACACGAGCATATCCCATGAACACATAAGCACACAATATGAATGAGCTGTTCACACACTGCATATGTATGTTGAACTTCTTTCCCACCGTACGTAGCCAACCGTGCCAATCGGAGGTGCGGGAAACACACACGCAATGTAAATACTGCACAAGTGAACTGTAAGAGGCTCCAATGTACGGAACGTAAATGTGTCATCCGTAATACCACACAGACGCTCCAAATGCAGTTGGCACACCATGGCTTACATTTCAAACACACTCGTGCCACGCTGCTGCTTACACTATATCACACACGGACAACGCGGGTGTTACGTACGAAAATCCACATCTCCGATTAGCACGGCTGGCTACGTATGGTGCAAAAGAAGTTCAGCACATGTACACAAAAGCCGATGTACGTACACTTTATACAATTATCATTCCAAGAATTTGCCACAGCTCAAAACCAATGCCCCACAGCAATACAACGACAGGAACATACATAGCATGCACCTAGTAACAAGAAAAACAGTTCCAGGCACCAATACGGCCACGCCTATTTTTCCCTCCCGCTCACATTACGATGAACGGATCGGCAGACGGCATTTCTTGCTTTCGTTGTCGGCAAGCAATGATTCAATGTATTACAAGCTATGACGACAACATTGCCACGCAGGAGCTGCCTTCTGCTGTGAAATGATGCTCGAGAATCTCGCGGGGCATTTTAGTGGCAGGGGCCCACGCAGGTGTGATGCCACGACAGCGAAGCGGCTCCGCCGAGGACGGGGCCGCCGCTGCGCTGCTGCTGCAACAGAGAAGCCACCCGGCTCCCGTCACGGAGCGCTTTCCTCACCACCCCCCCACATAAACACACACACGTGCACTCACGTAGTGCCTCGTGGGGGGGGGGGTCACCTGCCCCTGAGTTTTTACCCGAGAGACCCCCTCGTGGGGGTGCTCCACGGTTTCTCAGGGCCAGGGAATTGGCAGAACCCCTCCCAGGCCGAATGACACTGCGGCGCCGTGGAGTGACTTAAAATTGTACGGCCACGGCGAACTCGCTGAGAAACCGCATTGAGGAAATGCCCAAGGCACCCGCAACGGCAGGCGGGGGGGGGGCGGGGTGGCGCAGATTGACCTTTAAGGTCTGTAAACGATGTGTGCGATCGCCACAAACTGGCACACATCGGTTAAACAATGGGGGGCGGGCGTCGGAGAGGGGGGATAATCCGATTGGCCAGGGGTGGGAAATCCGAGGCTCCTGATTGGATGAGGGGCCAGCGGGTCGGCGGGACGTAGGCTTTGAAGCTGGGGCATAAAAAGGAGTGGGATTGGGAAGCAAGGTCTCTTTGCGCTCGGGGTCAACTGGAGAGAGGGATCGAGGAGTCGTCTGTGAGACGGGTCGTAGAGCAGCCGAGTCCAGTTTCCCAGCCAAAGCCACGGGCAGCCTCGCCTTTCCGTGGCTTCCTACATTTCGAGAGCGGATAATAAGTACGAAGAGAAGGCAAAGAGGGATATTCTAATAGGAGTGAGTAGAGAGAGGTCAGGCTACTTGAGTATTAGACTGTAGAGAGATAGGTTAGATCTGCCCTGCTGGTCCACACTGACACGGGTAGATTCACTCTAATTAAACAGAGAATAAACCACCAGTAGACATTAAACCGTGTCGTGTTGTCTCTGTGAGTACAGAGGAAAGGGGGGGGAGTGCATGGTGTGGTGAGCCTGTGCGTTGTGTGGTGTCCTGTGTATTCTGCCCGCGTGGGCACTCTCGCCGCTGTGCAGCTCGTGGTTGGCGTGTACGAGAAGGGCACCGCGGTGTATTTGCGAGGAGGTTAGTGCAGCTATTTAAATCATGCCACGAGGAGCAGCAGCGAGGAGAAGAGGGGAGCGGGGGGGGGGGGGCACAGGAGAACGAGGAGTCGAGGGACAGCATCCTTAACACAGGCACGTCCACACATTTTCGGGAGACACATTTGCTGGGAGCCACGTTCAGTGATCGTAGCCAATGGAGACGAAACACACCATCAGTGCTGTCTATTAGCCGTACATTGGGGTTCAAGGGACGAGCCTCTTGCACACTGCCTCCCAGAGGCAGCCTCCTAATTGCCTGGCAAATTAAACCTTCCCATTTACTTTTCGTCTGCCTCGACTTTTCTTCAAACTCATTTATCAAATGTACGGGCGAGAAATAGGTGCACGGTGCGCTGGCACGGAATGGCAATTTGGCTGATTAGAGGCGAGGAGTGGTTTGATTGCTTGACGATGGTGCTATGGGTAGACATTCATTTCCAATTACAGTACCGGGCAGTGTATCAAATTAGCCAACTTCAGGGTCCATTTAGGACAGTTGCATTTTAATGGCTTATGTGTGTATTCAAATTGTATTGCCTTTTTGAGCATTAGGGTGTTAACAAGCAATACATTCAGCATGCACCTAACAACGATGCTGTATTATTACAAAGGGATTATTAGGTGGCTTGGTAGCTGCAACTCCTTCGCTCTGGATGAAGGGATTTCTGGACTGAGTCCCTTGATGTGCGCGATGCTCTTTATATGCAATTAGTTCTTGTTTTTCCGTGTACTCACAAGGGGTCGCTCCTGCAAATGAGACACTGTCCTTGTCTCTTGAGTTCTCGCCAGGTTCAAAAAAATAAACTGAACTCGACGTGGTAGTTTGCAAGCTCAATGTTCAGCGGATGGTTGATATTGTAAATAAATTGTTTCCCTTACGTACTCTTTGGTGATACTTTGTTATTAAAATGTTTCTCGTCAAGGAGCATAAACCATCATGCAAACTCCGGTCATCATCGCAGCGGCTTTTTGCTAGCCATCGAACAAAGACCGTCACCGCATCGCGCGCTTTCAGGTGCACTTCTACGGCCGTCTGGAACGCACTTCCTTCCAATATTAGGAAGCCAATGGAGCTATGTACTCTCAAATCATCTAGATTGAAAACGAATTTCTTTAGAACTGCCTTTTGTGTTTAGTTTGTTGTCCTTCCCCCGCAGAGCCAATGGGCTATATACAGTGTGAAAGAAGTTCAACATACATACATATACATACGTTGGAGAAACGTTGCTACAAATGTTAAGCACGTTGTAACTACTGGGCATGCCAAGTTCCTCGTCGTGCCAGTGGCTTATCTCAGTGTAGAAGCTTTCATGTACCCAATCAAATTACAACTTAACCATTCCCAAGTGCTCTGCTCTGGAGAGTTGCTCCATGGCCAATCTTGCTGGAACCACTGTGGAGCAACACTAAAGGCCACACCATACATTACCGCGTAGGTTTTCATGGTTGTGCTGTCGAGGAATGAGCCATATATCCAAAACAAGTCTCTCTTTCGTGAAAAAAATGTATAGTTTTTAACTCAATGAGGTTTCGAGGGGGAACAAGGCACGGAATCAATCTTGAGCTCTCCGATGTGTTTTTGGGTTGTACTGAGTGTTTCTTAGCATGATGTCCGACGTTTCGCTGCACGTGTTGGGTGCTTCGTCAGCAAAGCTACCCTGGACAACTTTGCAAATGCGGTGTTCCATCCAATGGCTATTCCAGGTGAAATACATTTCTGAATAAATAAACACTCAATGAATACGGCGGTTGCAACAAATGTTGTTTGTGTGCTGGAAGCATCTTCGGGAATATCCCAGGATGTGCAGCGAAACGTCGGACATTACAGAGAATGATGCACGGTCATCATCATCACGATCCATGGGCAGATAGCCCCGTACGTGCCCACTGTACATTTGGTCATTTGCTTCCACTTTCCTCTGTCTTGCGGCAAATATGGTCAAGTAACAGCACATCTTTCTGGCCCCAATCTCTAATGTCGTCGTCAAGTCATTCTCCGCTAGGTCTTCCGACGCGCGATAGAATCCCAGAAAGGAGGAGGACGCGAAGAGGAATCCCACCTTGACGGAAACCTGCGGCAGGAAGTGCGGGTTGCGCAGGCGCGTGGTCATGTAGAGGCGGAAGTCGCCGCTGTACTGCACCACGGCGTCGCCCAGCCGCACGCACTCCACGCCGCCCTGCCGGAAGGTCTGCCGCAGCAGGATGGGGTCCAGCATCGGGTCCAGCTCCTCGGGGACGTTCTCCAGGAGCACGGGGTAACCGAACTGGGGGGAGAAATGAGCCACAGCGTGATCGGTTTCACGGAATCCGTGGCCACGGGATGACCGTTGTTATGCTGACCTCCAATGATCAATTCGTAATAAATAGAACATTTTCAAATGCACACGAATGTTTGCGAAATGGACAAACGATTGTGCGATCGCGGAGCATAAGTTCGCGGTTCCTCGTAACCAGCAGGGAACCTGATCGAGTTGTCACCACTGGCTCAGAACCATCGATGGACATCAGCATCACCCCATTGCTGGAGCGGAGAGACACTTGAGATGTTTAATTCACCTTCACTGAATTTGAATCGGCTGATGCTTACATATGCATTCAATATGATCAGTTTACGATCAGTTTATCCTCAATATGCAAGTGTCCAGGAGGTGGTGATGGTGCGCTGCACTACAACAGTTACTTCAGACGCACAATAGAACACGTTTCTGCCTAAGGTACCCTTGGCACAGTCAATGTATTATTTCAGTAAACAAAACTGCAGTATCCTGCTGGGGTTTAATTGAATTGTCGCAGCTGTTATTACAACTTCAATTAATTAGTAAGACCAAACTTCCATTTTAGTAATTGATTGGTAGCATAGACAATTAAATGATATGGCGTAGAAAGTCTGAGAATGGAGACACTTTGACTTTGACTTGACTTTTTAAGAAAGTCAGTAATGTGATGTGCACCTTCATTATACGGCAGTTCAAAAATTGTATTGAAGTTAATTATCAGTTACAATGAACAAGTCTTAATTTAACGGTGGCATTCATTATCTCTAATTGGCAATATATTGTACAGAACGACTCACGGAGCCATGCTTTAGAATCAGGGCTTTTACTAATGGGCAAAATTAACACTCAGAAATAATTAAAATCAGAGGCATGTATTATAAAAGTGATTGTGACTACTGGCTGAAATAAACTTATTAAAAAAATTGTTTAAATAAATTATATATGAAAACACTTATTTAATACATAATGAATTTTGACATGATGACAATATTCTAATGCTTTTTTAATAACCGTAGAATTTAAATTAGTTTTATGCAAACTGGAGCTTGACAAGCACTGCTCGACATTCTAGATATTGAAGTTTTTTTTTGTTCGACTAAAACAGTTGGCAAACCAAATGAAATGTGTCACATATAAATTCTGCACCATTGTCTAATTGTTATAATCATATTGATAAATAAAAATAGACATTCACATAACCGATACTACAGGGGTCAAGTATCCAGTGCGGGTGAGCAAATCAGGGGTGGTGGCTTACAGTGTAACCATGGACCAACCCAATGTCAAAGTTAAGAGCCAGAGGTCGTCAGGGTTTAAATTCACAGATGGCCAATGCCATGAAATCTCACCACCCCTTCCTCCTAAATTCCTCACATGCTGCCCGGTTTGACCTCTGAGATTTGATCAAACGATATTTCACCACGGTGCACAAACCACCACAACATAAAAAAGGGATAATTTATTTGTGGCTATTTATGGAATCTGGCCAGTGAGTCGCACAATAGCATGCTCTTGTGAATGATGTTCACAGGGTGATTAATGTCCCACTTTGTTACAGGTTGCACACTTTGGTCAACGCCCAGAGAAATAACTGTCCAGTTGTGAAAATTTGACCAAATGACTCATATCCTGCAACTTATATAACCGTGAATTGGCAGGCTGTAATTGTCTTCAGCCTATTAAAATGTACCTCATTGACTGGGTAAAAGGATGCAGGCCAATATATATCACAGAGTGCGGGAATAAATATATATGCACACACCTATTATGAGATAATGTTAATATTAAACAAAACCAACATCTCATGGCCGTACGGGAAAACTCAAGAGCAACCAAAAAGTGTATGATAATCATGTCCTTTTTACAAATCAGATTGATGTAGCCATCCTCTAGCTATCATCCTAACAGGCCACTGAGCTTGCCCAGCAATGGGTAGAACAGAACGCGATGCACAGAAAGCCACTGCTGCTGTGGAGAAGATACCGCCTACTTCTGCCGATATTTGAGCTACACCAGCTCGTTTTTTATGGAAGTAATGACGCATTGATTGTCAATTAACATTGATGTTTGAAGCTCACAATGCGAGAATCAATGTTTTCCAATTTGTACATGGCAAATGTAATGTTTCATATGACCTCTCGAGCCACGGAAGGCTGCTATCTTCATCACAATGCAAAAAACTAAGGTAATTGATTCACAACCCCTTAATTGAGACCTTAAATAGCAACGTTTCACTCAACTGTGTGGGGAAAATTTGTTAAGGACCTCATGCGTGCTACTTTTAACGTTGATACACATACTTTCACAAAATAAAGCAATATTCAACTTGTTCAACTACGTTATTTAGTTATGCTTCACGACGGCACCCCATTGGGCTACTTTTCGATTGTAAATGCGGGAATATTTACACAGTAAATAACTCTTACTCGCCAATTCAACACGTGTAAGACCCGTCCCAGAATGAAACAAATGGGGCGATGGGATTGTGTGGCATTGCGACACTGGCCGGTCCCTCGTGATGCTTAAGACCAATGACTGTACCATTGCTACTTTGCCATTCAGCAGTGCCTTGATTATATTTAAAAGTCTATGAATAACAATTCAAGGCAATGCCCTCGGTCACAATACATGTTACATTTTAAGGGAGACTGTGCAGCCCTGGCGAAAGGAACAGTAGAGAGGCCCCTGCAGAGGATATTTGGCCAACTCCTTCACGCTGGCCGGAGATTTTGAAAGAGCCCAGAGTATTCACAATTTACCTCGCCACGCCTATGTACGCTGCTGGGTGGAATGAGGCGGTGGGGGGGGGGGATTTGAGAAACTTGCGCCGTTGTTTCAAAAGCTGCACCGGGAAATGGAATCCACCACCTCTGGACTTTAACTGCAATGTGCTAAGCATTAGGCACCACGGCCACATCCCGGCACCATTCGCGTTACCCATCGTGGTTAGGGCAACATCCCGACACCAACAACGTTACCAATCGTGGTTACAGGAACAGCCCGGTACCAACCACGCTACCAATCGTGGTCACGGCAACATCCCATCACCACCAATGTTACCAATCGTGGTCACGGCAACATTCCGACACCAACAACGTTACCAATCGTGGTTACGGGAACAGCCCGGTACCAACCACGCTACCAATCGTGGTCACGTCAGCATCCCATCACCACCAACGTTACCAATCGTGGTCACGGCAACATTCCGGCACCAACAACGTTACCAATCGTGGTTACGGGAACAGCCCGGTACCAACCACGCTACCAATCGTGGTCACGGCAGCATCCCATCACCACCAACGTTACCCATCGTGGTCACGGCAACATTCCGACACCAACAACGTTACCAATCGTGGTTACGGGAACAGCCCGGTACCAACCACGCTACCAATCGTGGTCACGGCAGCATCCCATCACCACCAACGTTACCAATCGTGGTCACGGCAACATTCCGGCACCACCAACGTTACCAATCGTGATTATGGCCACAAATCGCAATCGCTGCCGCGAACCTGCACGCAGTTGCTGAGTGTGCGGGCGTAGTCGGAGTCGGCGAGCTTGCACACGTGCAGCTTGCTGGCCCTCTCCATGTTCTTGATCCACTTGTTGGCTTGGACCTGCGGGTCGATCATCAGTGGCCAGCGCTGCGCCGACGTAACGATGATCGCGTTCTCCACTGAAAATCTGGAGAAAATAATTGTTAAGGCACTTGATCAGACATGGCTTCCTCGCATGCCCGTGGAATGACTTACAAAAAAAAACTAAGGATACAAATGCGGCACGTTGCTCCGTTCATACGGCATACGAAAGAAGATGAAGACTGCACGTATTTTGTTCGTTCAGACAAACACGAAAGCACCAATGGCAATATTAAAAAAAAAAAAAAAACATTTTGATTGTTTTTGTTTTAAATTTCTATTCAGAAACTAAACCTGGACCATACGTAGAAGGATCTAAAAAGTCACCGAATGTTGATTTATAGAAAGGAAGTGGAAATTTTGGTTGCTTTTCTACCATGCATAGACATAAACTATCTTTTAAATTAACTTTCATTATCCCCAGAATATACATCTTAATATCAGTATTTCATAATGTAAATGTAACAGCTGAAGTAATTTTGTGGCCACATGTATACAGCCCTTTAGTCAATTGTAAAGCCTCACCTCTTGTCCCTTCCTCTTCCCTCCCCTCGCCCCTCCACTTCTTCCCGTCCCTTCCCGACCTTTCCGTGACCCCTCATTCTTGGTCACCCATTACCTCGGCCCTTGCACGCCCCTGCCATCTAAACCATTTTGTTTTACCATGTTAAGCGCCTTGAGCAAAGGCCCTCCATAAATATAAAATCACATGAGATAATCCGCTGCTGGATGAGGGCCTTCCCACAGGTCGTGTAGATCATGGGGGTTAATGATCACACTTTACCATGCTGTGTATTCTACTGAATTCTAAATGCTATTTTAAGCCTAATGGTACGTGCAATAGCATACTCATCGGTTATTTCGGTAAAGTCACGTATGTAGAAATAAAATAAAAATTTAAAAAATCACGACGTTTCAAACGCAACACAAGCGCTCGTGCTCAGGTGCAATCACACACAGAGCACACAGAGAACGGCAAACTGCACGGAGGCAAATACAGCAAGAAGATGGGAGTCGCGAACTCGGCAAACCTTAGAAATATAATGCGATGCAACCCAGTCGGCCAACAACACAGTTAAGACACTAAACCTGGTTGGCCACGTATTTCAAAAGACTGCTAAATCTTGCGTCCCCCATTTTCTTGCTGTATTTGCCTCCATGCAGTTTGCCGTTCTCTGTGTGCCCTGTGCGTGATGTCCCTCTGTGTTCCCTCGCTGTGTGGTTTACGCCATTTTCACCTGAGGACGAGTGCTTGTGTTGCGTTCGAAACGTCGTGATTAATTTCAATTTATTTCTACATACGTGACTTTACCGAAGAACCAATGAGTATAGTAATTCCTGCAGTCACGAAAGCTTCAATCCTAGTGCAATAGCATCTTAAACAGTTGTCCATATCAAGTACACGAGTGTCCTGACATATTAAATGTTTATGGAGAAGACTAGCTGTTATAATACATTAAAATACAGTATCCCCTCGTTATTCCCGAAGGATACATTCCGGGGATGCTCGTGAATAGCAAATATCACGGATTATAATTTTGGCCTACAAAAACCTATATTTTGAACGCATTACCTTAACTATGTACACAAATATAAATATGAATTTATTAAATAATAGTTTATAATCTTGATTTGAAGCTTTCGTGACTGCAGGAATCCATACTCTTAGATTTTATACCTACGTGACTTTACCGAAAGAACGAAAGAGTATGATCGTTTTTAAATGAACTCACCTCAAATTATGATGATGCTACTACGCATCATCACTTTATCTCAACGCTTTCCATTGAAAATGCTTTTTTCCATTATTGGGATATCTTATAAATGTTCGTTTTGAAACGCGCTTGCATTTTAACTGTGTGCAATCCCGAAGGCAGCCATTCCCCTCGGAAACTTCCACCTACGGCGCTACGGCAGAGCAAATTTATATCCTGACGCAGCATTGGGCAAACGCGACGTGTGAAGAAGGTTAAGGGTCAACGTATTTTTTTTTTCCGCCGGAGGAAGTTAATTGGTGCCCCGTACTCACATATCCCTGGGCAGGCCGTGCAGCTCCCACTCCATGATGCGCACGGGGTCACCCAGCGTGGCCGCCAGCGAGAAACCGTGGGAGACGGGGATGCTCTTCTCTCTGCACATGGCGTACCACTCACGCAGGATTTCCTGTTGGGATGAGACGGGTGTTTTTGCCGACGGCGTTGTCATTGCAACATCCACTGGACGACATCTGTGAAACTACTGGGCGTCTGTGAAACTACTGGGTATCTGTGAAACTACAGGACATTTGTGAAACTACTCGGCATCTGTGAAGCTACGGAACATCTGTGAAACTACGGGACATCTGTGAAACTACGGGACATCTGTGAAACTATGGAACATCTTTGAAACTAGAGGGCATCTGTGAAACTAGAAGGCATCTGTGAAACTAGAGGGCATCTGTGAAACTACTGGATACCTCTCCACAGTGGTGAGATGTTCACCACCTTGCCTGCTTTGCAGGAGTTCGTGGGTTCGATCCCGACCCTGACAATGCCTGTATAATTGGAGTTTGCGTGTTTTCCCCGTGGACCGACTGGGCACGTGGATTTTTCCACAATTATAAACATGCGTTTAGAGGGTTTGACTGCTATAAATTTCCACATGATATGCCACTTCGTTGAGCTATCATTGGTGGCTAGGTCGCTGGCAAAAAAGAAGTTTAGTTTATTAACTACTGGACATCTGTTAAAAATAACTTTTTAGCTCAGCCCATTCCTCCAGTGTAAATATTTTGATTCCGATAAACATTTTGATTCTGATTCCAATGGCAGTGAACGGCAGGGAATGTTATAAGAGCTTACGAATGCAGGCTGCAAAGTTAGGGCTCGGGGTAAACATGGGCAGAACAGAGATTACGCACGACAGGGTCACTGAACATACGGAGGGTTCCTTCGGAGGGACACAGCTGGAAAACACAGCAGAGCGTGTGTGTACCTGGGATGTCTACCGGAGGTGGCCCGAGTTCAAGAATATTAAACAAAGAGAAGCAGCCAGGCAGAGTAGTTTTGGAAAACTTAATTAAATCATGAAAAGTAACATACCAATGTGCCTACAAATACAGTTTTTAATTATTGTACTCCTATACAATTAGGTTCAGAAGCATAGTCATGAGGGAACGTACGCAGGTTAAAGACACAATTCACACTCGGGCTTGGGCGGGACGCATCACTCGAAGGGAAGACGGCCGACGGTCAAGAAGAGCGGCAGAGGGGCGGCAAAGGAAGGAACGCGTCCGAGAGGACGTCCACCGCGGACATGGCATGCTGTACACGGCTCGTTGTGCAGGTGCCGAGCGCACCGTTACATCACGCAAACTGTGAGGGATGGCAACGGTTTGGGGAAAGCATTGATCCAAAAGTGGATTATGGTTGACGATGACGATGATGATACACCAGATGGACGAGGTTAAACCAGAGCTGCTGATGGGGTCACCTAAAAATCACTGCTCAGGAAAACCCGAGGAAGCCATCTCTACTTCCCATCGGTAATGACGGCTCAAGAACCCTAAGTGTGGAGTGCAGTGTTGCGAGGTGAAGGGGGGATTGTATGGGATGCAGAGCTTGAGCCATACATACATAACAAAGAACAAAGATCCCCCATATAGCCTTAACAGACTGTAGGGGCAAGTGCTGTTAGCGAGCACCTATGAAGGCCGGAACGGTACACGAGGGGGTGGGTGGCCAGCACCACGCCCGACCGCCTTTGTCTCCCTAGTGGCAATGTTTACACACTGCACCAGGTACTCATTTGAGGCTGAGTCGACCTAGGGAAGGCCCGGGACCGGTTCAGATAATCGTCACTGGTGTTGGCCGTGAATCGAACCCGGGTCGCCAGATTCATAGCGCAGCGCGCTAACCGCTACACTATCGCTCCCCACACACACACACAAAGACAAATATCCCCAATATAACCTTTCACAGAATGTTGGGGCAAGTCCGGCATGGCACAAGAAGGGGTGGTTGGCCAACACCATGCTCGGCCACCTTTGTCTCACCAATGCTGATGTTTACACACCACATTAGGTGCTAATTAATGTTGAGCAAACCTATGGGAGGCCCAGAATCAGTTGAGATATACTTCACCGATGTAGGACGTAAGCAGGAATTGTACTTGGGTTGCTGGGTTTGTTGTGCACTGCACTTACCACCATACATAAATAAACAGACAAATAAAAACAGACTTTTATGGCAAGTGTTGTTAGCGAGCACCTATGAAGGCCAAGACGACACACAAGGGGGTGGGTGGCCAGCACCATGCCGGGCCGCCTTTGTCTCCCGAGTGGCGATGTTTACGCATCGCACAAGATACTCAAATGAGGCTGAGTCAACCTAGATGAGGGCCCATGACCGGTTAAAATAATCGTTACTGGTGTTGGCCATGAGCGGGAATCAAACTCAGGTCGCTGGGCGGGTTCATAGCGCAGCTCGCTAACCGCTACACGACCGCTCCTCAATAAATAGACATACACACATACAGACACAGACACACACACACATCTCTGACTCTTCCACCTCTATTTTACATTCGACACCCACATACAAGGACATGGGACACTCAATTATGCCCTCCGTCACCACTCATTGTCACCAGGTCTGCCCTAGAAGTGAAGGGCATGCTCACTAAGATGACGAGATTGAGAGGCGACGGCCGAGTAGTCAACAGTCATGTTCCTGACCCCCTACATCACACTCGGCGTGTCTCCAAACCACTACACACAAACGGCCTGCTGGAGAGAGACGGTGTCCCCGCTCTCCGTTGTTCTACTCCGTGAACCCGCGAATCCACAGTTGATGCAATAGGACGCTGCCGCGGTGGAATGATGGCGCCCCCTTTGGATTTGCAATCCAGAGGGGGCGCCGGTTCGATCTCCCGGCACGAGAGTCCAATCGTTTCTTAACGCCCTCGACCTCCAGCCACCCAGCAGTGTAAACGGTTACGCGCGTAGCAGAGTAAAGTGTGGTTACTTCCACCTCTTCCAAGACGTCTGAACAGCGTGGACGAGTAGACCAAAGACCCTCTAAGAGTTCCCTCGAGCTGAGGCTCTTCCACCAGCAGTGGCGTGGTGAGCAAGAAATTGCAGGGCGTCCCCTTTGCCTGCACCTTACAAGGACTTCAACTTTCCTGACCCGAGACGCCCACAATTCTCCTCCATCTTTACGACCCGCTCCATCATTTCCGCCACTCGCCCCCAACCCCCGTCCTCGCCCCCGCATCTTCCTTCTGGAGCAGCAGCAGCAGCAGGACCGAGCTCTCCCGCACCTCACCCCTCACCCTGCACTCGCCTGACTTCACCCAAAACGACGTCTGCATCAAGGACTCCCTCGTAGGGGGCTTTAACCGCTTCCCCCCTTGACCTTCCCCAAAGAATGAATAATCCTATGCAGGTGATACACCTCCTCCACCCTACTTCGATGACTGCATCTCACCCGATTCGCACACCCAAACGGTTTCAATGCCGTCTTCTGCCATGCTGCACCCTCCCCCTCGGTCAAAAATACACCAGGGCTCACCCGTATGACTAACTATCGAACAAAGATGGTCACCGCATCACGCGATTTCAGATGCGCTTCTGCGGCCGTTTGGAATGCTCTCCCTTCCGATATTAGGAAGCCACTGGAGCTATGCACGTTTAAATCTAGATTGAAAACTAATTGCTTTAGAACTGCTTTTTTGTGTTTAGTTTGTCCTCCTTTCACCGCACCTCTGATAACAGCGGTTGGCTACGTACAGTGCGAAAGAAGTTAAACATTCATACATACACCCTCAATGTCTACCCCTGTACACCATTCCACCAAAAAAACACTCTTGCCCTGACTGCCGGCACCATAGCCCTCAGTGGGCTCTAGCAGTGCCCTCTGGTTCCTCTCTCGTTTTAGTTGATTGTTGCTACACCTCAGATCCCTCCGTCAGCTTCCAATCTAACCCCAGTAGAGCTGCCGTAGCCGATTGTTAAACTAATTGATTACTCAACCAACTATTGGTTTGTGTCATGGATTAATCAACATAAGGACATTTGCTTAAAATTTTAATGAACAATTAAAACATACAAGACTAAAAGATGCATTTGTAAGCGCAGTTATTTATTGTAAATGTGTGTAGGTAGTACAAGAGGTGGTCATTTTTTGAGCTGCCGTTTTGTATTTACAAGAGGTGGTCCTTTTTTGAGCTGCCGTTTTGTATGTGTAAGATGTGCGTGTTTGAGCTGCCGCTCTCGCTCTGGCCCCTCCCCCCCCTCCAACCATATTTCCTATTTAAGCTTCTGTTCATCCCTCCGCCCCCCCCCCCCCCCCCCCCTTTCTCTCTGCCTCCCTGTCCATTTTTCCTCCCTCCTTACCTCTTGGTGAACTTGTATATGTATTTCTACTGACCGTGTACCTCGTATTTTTCATTCTATCTATGCTGGTATGTGCAATCCAAAGGTTGAACACGAAATTTAACACTCTTCTGAAATTCGTGGTCCGCCAGGAAGTGTCTGTGTTGTTGGCCTGACTGGATGTGCTTCACATAATGCTTTTTCAGGTTTGTTGAATTCTCGTCTCTCATCTTTTTGTTGTATTTACCTCCGTGATTTGTTCTTGACACCTGATGAAGATCGCTTGCGTTGTGATCGAAACGTCGTGATTGTTTTTTGTTTTAATATAATTTTATTGTATTTCTACATACGTGACTTTACCGAAAAAAACAATGAGTAATTTTATGCAGCCACGAAAGCTTTAATACTTTATTGTGTAGGTAGTAATCAGAATGAAAATCTTTATTTAGACTGGATGAATCCAATGAGTTATGAAGCTCTTTTTCACAGATGTCGAATTGGTACTGTTAAAATAAATCTTCACAACTCACGTATACTTATGTAATAATTTTTTTTGTATTAATTATCCACATCTATACTTTAATACTGCTGGTGACTATGTGTTAGTTCTTACCGGATGACCGGCTCCAGTTTAACAGCAGAGGTCTCACTCCGAATCAGTCGAACGGCAATATCTTTTCATCGGTTGTGTAACACTGTGTGGAAGCTACCTGGTCTGTCGCTCCGCACTAAGCTTCAGGTCTTCTCGGCCACGGTCATTCCCTCCCTTCTCTACGCTTGCGAAACGTGGACCCCCCTAATGGAACATCTTCGCCAGTTAGAAACATTTAGGCTGGCCTGCCTACGATCCATCCTGGGTTTAACCAGGCTGGATTGTGTAAGGAGCTCACAAATACTTGAAAGATCTGGGCACGGTCCCATCGGTGAGCTCCTCCGGCAGGCAAGGCTGCATTCGCTGGGTCATGTAGCCCGCATGCCCAGCCACCGCATGCCGAAACAGCTTTTGTTCGGCCGGATCAGGGGGCTAAACGGGCACGGCACGGGCTAGAGAAGAGATGAAGTGATGTGGTACAGGAGGACGTGGAGCTGAGTAGACTTGCCGATGACTGGTACCAGCGGTGTCAAGATCGGCCTCTGTGGAGGAGGCTCGTGAAGGATGCTACTGGGCAGTTGGAGGCAGTCGCCCTCCAACAACAACGGAGGGCGGAGGAGCGACGCTCACAACAACGAGTGGAGCGCCGGGTAGCTAAAGCACAGCAGGCTGGCACAGTAGGGGGCACAGGTGGTGCATCAGCCAGTCATCTCAATCATCTCAGTCAGTCGACCCGTGGCACCTGGGTCTGCCCCGTAACCTCCTGCCAGCGGGTGTTCGACACTTCACGTGGCCTCAAGGTGCACATGGCCTGGCACAAGCGTCGTGGTGACGTCACCGCCACTTAGTGGCGAATGGCGGTTGTTGATGTTGTTCTTACCGGATCAACTGTCCCGTTTGTCCAAGCTGTTCTTCCTCACTGCAATGTAAGCCTGTTACCCATGACTTACTTTGCATGTGAACAGACCACAAATTTGTTAAATTCTGCCCCTGTTGAAGAACACCTTTGCACTTCTACGTGAAACTGGATTCGTGTTAGAAGATTTCATCCCCACCATTCAATACACACACAATACACTATCAATACACACACAATACACCATCAATACACACACAATACACACACAGTACACACACAATACACTATCAATACACACACAATACACTATCAATACACATCCCCACCATTCATATCGGCACCTCCCAATTCAATCCCTGACCAGGAAACACAGGTTTGCACCCATCCATTGCACCTCACCAAGTTACATAATCATAGCCCTCCACAAATCCCCCACAATGCAATGCACGCCCCACATGCCCCCAAAGCAAATTCACGATCGCACCTCTTTTTCACACACATACCACTATTCGCCTCACCACACCACCTTGTTTAGTTTATTGGTTTGTCGATTAAAATATGTAAAAAAATATTATTCATTTACCCCCCTTTATTTAAGACTGAAACAATTGGATTTCCCCACAATCGTGGCTGTCGCCTGATGATGCTGCTTGTAATTACCGGCGAAATATCATGGTACTCGAATTGTAAATGTTGTGGGTTTACTTTCCATAATACAACCGGTGTGTTGAACTAGTAATGAATTTGAATGTTTTGTTTAAGTGACAAACCTTACTACTTGGCTATTCCGGGTAATGGCAGGGTTTACGACACATTTATATTTACGTGATCTAACCCAAAAAAAAAACTCTATTATGGATTGTAATATTTTATTAGAAATTACCAGTAATAGTTGCTAATACCCATGTGTAATTTCATGCAACACAAGTGAAGGAAAACAATAATTTGCAGTTGCATGCGGGGGCAGGATAAAGCTCACAACTGTGTACTTACACATGTGCCAATTTGCAAACAAGTGGCGAATTCCCAAAGCCACCCAATTACATCACAACACACCACCATGTAACACTATTGTAATGGCCATGTTAATGAATTGTCTGCTAGCATTAGCACCCAATACTTAAAGCTGAAAATGACACACAAACAAGTAAAATTAGGAAACCATGATAGCAGTAAATTTGTTTTTTTACAGTTACCCATATCCAACCATAGTAATAATCTATTATTTTGTGCTTTTGGTCAGGTGTATGAAAATTGAATGAGAATAAAATCAGTGCTTTGTCGCCGTGCACCATATTTTGGCACATATTATGCATAACTGCACCTCAATTTGGTACAATCGTCCACACAATCCTTGGTTCTCGTGATGATTATTGATACTGCCACCCCCATACATGTACCCCCCCTTCCATGAAGAAAAGTGCCCTTGATTAAGTCCTGCTCCATCATTGATCCCAACCCCACTAAACTTATCCCTTCTTGCTAACCCCCTCGGGTCCTCCACATCACTGCCACTGTTAAAAGCCTCCATCTGCTCTGGAGCTGTCCATCTAAACCTCAAAATAGTTGCTGTCAACTTATCCTGAAAAATCCATCACCGGTCCTAAAGACCCACGTTTGCAATTGTTCCTTGCAGCTTTGTATTTGGCAGGAGATGAGAGTGACCGGCAGTGACACCATCTCGTAAGTGATCTCTCCTGATATGATCTATATATATATAACCTATCTGCCGTCTCGTTCTCCTCAAACTCACTGCGGCCTTTGACACTGTCAGCCACTCAATCCCCCTCGTGTGCCTTCAAGACCGTGGAGGCGTCTCCGGCGCCGCCGTAAGCATGCTGATGCGCACACACAGGTGGGATGTGGTCCCTTGGGAGGTGCACTTCACAAAGTCACAATTCCAGATTGTGACTTTGTGAAGTGCCGTCAGTATTTTGCTGCTTCGCCACTAAACGTACGCACAGTGCCCACCTGCTCTATCTCAGCCAGTCATTGGGGGGCTATTAATTTATAATGAAGATTCGTTCATTGGAGCCAAGACGTGAAAATTATATATATAGCACATATTTATCGTACGTGAGTGCGGCCATAAAAGTCTGGGGGGGGGGGGGGAAGTGCACCGTATTGGAGGGCATGTGCATAGGTATGCAATTAATCAAATTAAAGTGTAGCAGAACCAATTATTCCAATTTATAGCTATTGCAAGCCACAACAAAACAAGGAGCAGTCAGCCCTCAAGAGTGCAGATGGCATTCATGCTGTGAAATGTCAGACAAGCCAATATACTGGGTCTGGCAAATTCCACTCTCATATATATATGATGTAGTGAACAGTGGTAGTCAAGGGCATATCGTTGTTGTTTATCTCATGTAAGAGCCATTGAAATTCATTATACATCACATATTTTTCAAGGGAAATATATAAAACTAAAGTTATAGCACACCATGTCTTAATTTTTTTTTACTATTTGGTGATGGGTGATGCAGTTTAAGTATTTGGCTAAGATAATAAGCGAGGTTTGGCAATAATCAACCTTTAGAGTTGTGCACTAATGGACCAGGCTTGGTAACTTTTCTTAAAATATATCAAGAGCTCTGGTGCTAAGGTTTTTTTTTTAATAATTAGATGCAAAAATTGGCATGGTTTTTCCTCGAATATTGATAAGAAATTGCAGCTGCCATAAAACCTCTCATATCATTTTATGTTGGCTATTTTTCATTTGGGGTGAAGCAGTGGAGGAATGTTTAGCGCAGAGTGCTGTAAACCCGACGTTGCTCATGTCAGTCAGGAGTGATATCTTAAATGGTTCTGTGTCCCCCTTTTACCAAACTGCACTGACCAGTGTGGTGAAGTATGGCCAAACAGGGTGACCACCGGTTTCAAAACCATGGAACAAGCGGCGAACTCGCTACCGCTACTTCATGTAACTGCCCAGGTGCCTAACAGGCCACGTTTTACAATAATTCTAAGATATGATGGGCTCTGTCTACAGCTTCCACTGCAGGTCAATGGACTTACAATGGCCATGGATAATAAGGGAGGTACGCAGTGATGTCATGATGGCACTGTGCGCGCACAGTCTGAGATGCACAGTACCTGTCTGAACTCTGGGGTGAACGGCCCCAGATATGCCACGATCCCAGAGCTTAGGAGTACATCGCCGACAATGTTTTGGTAGGTGCTGTGCAGCACGGTTGCCAGCTCTGCCCAGCGTTCTTTCTCCCCGCCCAGGCCACTCATCAGCTTCTCCGCGCGCACCAGCTTCAACCTAACTCAGATGCACCCACATCGCACAGAGCATCACCACGCAATGCCGCACCACACCACACGATAAGCCATTAGATCACAGTTGTTGCACTTCAAGTTGCGTAAAATTACTGTGCTGAACGATGCACCTCAGTGTTGTGCAGCCCATGCTCACTGATTGGATTGAGACACTTTGGCAGAAGCTGGGGTGGACCTGCTCAGGCTGCTCTGAATGTCAGATGTGAATATAAGAGAGCAATATTTATGGAACATCAGCTGATTCATCTCAGTCTTTTTTTTAGTTCCGCCAAATAACATAGCCTTATTTTTTGCTACAAGTGTTTGGCATTTAGTTTAATTGTTCAACCATAGTGCTTTTCCTCCAAAATAATAATAAGCATTATGCATTTTTGTACATTGCAGTTTTTATTTTATATATATATTTGGGCAGAAAACCTGTTATCCTTGTTTTCTAGGATTTTAACCAAAATAAATGTAATTTACAAATACATTTCAATAAAAAGCGAGTGTGAACATTTATGTTGCCCATTTTCCTTTTCTACTGACAAAAAAAGGGTTTTCACACCAACACAGAAAACAACCTCATCACTGATGATCTCCGACCCCTTGCTTTGGTGAAACGTCTGGCGGACCTGATGGCTAATGACATCGTCGGGTCGTACGCCAACCATTTAAACTCGCCTCTCGATCTACCAGATGACGATTTTTTTGTTTGTTTTATTTCACACCCTTAAAAAAATGTAATCAGACCCGGCGAAAACCTAACGCCGAGGGAAAATGAAAATCAGCATGCTATTAGAGACGAGTTCCATAAAATATGTAAAGAGCGCACAGACTGCCGTTGACAACATTGACGCCACACAACGCGGCTCCACTGACACCGGCAGAATCATCGCCGTGGCGCCAAAACCCGAGGCGAGAATGTACACCTCCGCGCCCGTTGAAATATTTACGATTGTTTTAATTATGCATGCATTCATTTCCGGAAAGAATGTTGCTCAGTCAAAATAGCATCTGTTCAGCACGGAGAGAAAGCTCACACTTTTGGAAACAGTGGAAACTGGCAGCACAAACACGCGCGCAGCAACGCTCAACGCAAGACACAGATCCTCCGTGTCTGCGGCCGTCAGACACAATTTTTCCGAGAAAAATTTCACACGTTGTAATTTTCCACAAATGAGCTCGGGGGTGTGGTATGTAAGTACATTTTTTTTGTTATTATTTCTGAGTATTTATATTTATCGCTTTGGTTTAATTTGACTGAGTTCTACTCATATATGATTTTTCCAATATTAGTAATACCTTGCATTTATATTGGGCCAGAATGTAATGAAACGTCTCAGAGTGCATAACGCTTTACAACAACGCATGGATTTGCATACAATTTTGATTCACTGCGTTATAGTTCAGATGGAGTGCTCTCGATTATAACAGTAACCCAGCAGCATTCGTCTAATTATCCTGACTTCTGCTGATGAGACCCAGAAGGTTGAAACCAGTCCAGAGGTCACTTGCTTAAACAAACAAGCCAAGAGGCAGATGGACGAATTATATATATTTTGTATTTATATGTAGAGACATGGAATGGAGTTCTACATGTATATACCAATATAAAGACAAATATACCATGTATAGCCTTCACACACTTTTCTGGTAGGTGCTGTTAAGCGAGCACCTACATACAGACACGTTACTGAATGTACTTTCAAATTGTACTCACAATGCTGCGGTCAGAATGTACATATGCAATGAGTCATTGAGATCAATTTGTACGGTCCTGATACATGCTTGGAATCGTATGCGTGTGTATTAATGTATACTTTTCAATTTGTATCCTATATGCATTTTCGTTCGTGTGACCCCTGAAGCCACCAATGGTTCTGCAATCAAAGAATGAGACCTGCGCATGCTACAACGTAGGTGGGCAATTCACAAGGGGAAAGGGCAAGTGTTCACCTGTCAATTTAGTTCACCTCTCAATTTGTTCACCCATCAAATTGTTCACCTATCAAATTGTTCACCTGTTAATTTGTTCGCCTGTTAATTTGTTCACCCATCAATTTGTTCACCTATCAAATTGTTCACCTGTTAATTTGTTTACCCATCAATTTTGTTCACCTATCAATTTGTTCACCTGTTAATTTGCTCACCCATCAATTTGTTCACCTATCAAATTGTTCACCTGTTAATTTGTTCACCTGTTAGTTTGTTCACCAATCTATTTTGTTCACCTATCAATTTGTTCACCTGTTAATTTGTTCACCTAATAATTTTCAATCTCGGCACTGTTATTCTCTGAAAGAGGCACATTCCTGTCACCACTTCATGGGTTTCAATAATGCAATTCACAAATAAAAAGTAGTAAAAGCAGGAGTGTGAATTACGTTTAATTTCATTATCGACAGATTTGCAATTAGTGCGTGCCACGTTAGTAGGCCACAACTGCTCAGTAGGATTTGGAATGGGTCAGTTGATTAATGTTGTTTGATTAAATTGTGTACGTTTCCATTCATATGCCTCAACCGCTTTCAAACTGAGACCCAGGTTGGAGCAACAATGTAAAAGCTAACCAATAATATAAATATTGTGAATGATGTAATCCAATTTATATTTGTTCTATTTACATTAAGCAAAGTCATTTTAAGTCAGAGAACTTGACTCAACATCCGACAATTGTGAGTTAACTTCCAGTTGGGGCTGACTCAACAAATTGTCCTTTTAAGGTCAACAACAAAATTAGCACAATTTTTATTACATATTTTGGAAAATTAAGAGTTATATAGGCTCATGCCATTGTAATGTGCCTATTTTCACTACTCCCTCGGGGCTGCCAGAAGAGATGAGGATGTTGACTTGAGTTTTGAAGAAGGCGAATGTTCAACAGATGAAAAAAATAAAAAGTTATTGTTTTTTTGGATGTGCTCACAAGTCATAAGCTTTAAAAAAACACTCTAAAGCATGGCAAACACAATTCACAATCATCATACTTGCCTGCTAAGGCAAAGTTACCAAAAAGTTACAAAAGCTGACATTGTGCTGAAAATATTGTTCTTGCCAACGCCGGGAATTGAACTTCTAGGACGTGAAATCCCCCCCCACTCCGCACCACCAATGCCGAAAGGCTGGTATGGGCGCGAGGCGGAGCGTGAAGTGGCACACCATACCGCGTGAGCTGGATGCTGTCCTCCAGCTGTTGTTTGTCGGCGAGGCGGAGTGCCAGGCGGTCCTGCAGGGCTCCAAGCTTGGCGCTCACCTCACGCAGCTCCTCCCGCTTCACCTCAAGCTGCTCCATCTGCAGCGCCAACTCCGCCTCTGCCTCCACCAGGCGCGCCCTCTTGGGGGCAACAATCTGCCGCGCGGCCCACACGTTCGCGATGACCATCGGAGCCAGTGAAGCGGCCTGGCGTGGGCTTTCGTGTTATTTGGCGCGGCCAGTAAGCGGTGCCGTGATGATTATTACGAGGCATTTGCACTTGCCGGACCTGCTCCAGCTTGCAATCGCTGACCCCCAGTCCTCTGTTTGGTGCTCGTACGGGTGCCCACGTCGATTCTTTATTACATTAACGATAAGCTGAGCGAAGTAAACTAAACTATTTTTACTTTACCAGGTAAGGCCCACTGAGCTATATAGCTCTTTTTCCGAATGTATGGATGTATGTTGAACTTCTTTCGCACCGTACGTAGCCAACCATGCTAATAGGAGGAACAACTAACGAAACACGAAAAAAGCAGTTCAGAAGCGACCTGGCAACAACTGAGAGCTCAACGAAGTGGCTTATCATATGGAAATGTATTCCAGCCAAATACTTTAAGTGCGTGTTCCTAAATGTGGAGGGAAAAACCGGAGAGCCCGGAGGAAAATCCACGTGAGCACAGGGAGAACATTCAAACTCCAAATATACAGCAGGTGTCAGGGTCAGGATCGAACCCATGACCTCCTGCATACCAGGCGATGTATTAAATATCTCGCCACTGTGGCAAACATGTGGAAGCACCGTCCATAGAGAGTTTGGCTCACAATCTACAGAGGGGGAGGTTGATAATTTATTTTATGGTCAATAAAATAAGTACTACTTTGTGAGAAGATAAGCAGGGTTTTTGTTAAACATTGTATTCCATTCGTAAGAAAATGGAGATTTTTTTTCTGGCGGCTCAAAGGCACAAAAAGAGATAAATAACTCCGCAATGCTAATTTTAAAAGGTTAATTAATTTACCCCAATATAACACGTGTTTTAAAATATAAGTATATTATCAATTTACATAGATTTCCTAAATCTGGAAAATCATCATATTTTAATCGCTGGATGCTTATAATGATAATAAACACATTTTCTTGCTGTGGTTTTTCACACCTGATGATGATTGCTTGTGTTGCAGTCGAAACGTCGTGAAAATGTAATTTTTTATATTTTTATTATTTATTGTTTTCCTTCTACGTGACTTTACCGAAAGAACGAAGAATATGAATCCCTGCAGTCACGAAAGTTTTAAATCAAAAGATAATAAACAAGGTTGATAAAAAAAAACCCAGCTCATATCTGGTCTTAAAATAATGGGTTAGGATGAACAAAAGTGGTGCAAATTTAGCAAATGGCCTGGTGGTACAAACAAACATTTTACAGCAAAATTAGACCACAGTTTATATCATCGGACTATAAAAAATCCCAGTAACGTATGAAGATGAGAGCAGAGGCATAAATGTGTGCATGTGAGTGCACGTGCTCATACAAATGCAATGATTATTCTTTCTTGTTAAACTGTTGTGGCAAGTGCTGCAAAATGGGTATTTATCTATTGAGGCTGGTAAAAGGCAAGTGACAGAGCGTATAACACGCACACACAGAGACGGTCTGAAGGGGCCTCAGAGCCATTTGTTGGCTCAGGGCATCTATTATGCTAAATCAGCCCCAGACGGCACCAAATTCAAATGAGATGCTGTCAACGCTGGCCCCATTGTGGCTGTTCGTGATGGAGATGGCATTGTGCGGCGAGGGAAGCCATGCACAGTGTGACCTTAACTCAACTCGCACAACCAAGGAAATATGATTAACCTACTGCACACGTTCACGTTTTAAATATTTTCTTTGAAACGACTGATGATTTTACTTATTTTTAAATACATATTTGAAAGTTTAACACATAGGCTTTCACGGACAATATTATTTATGTGAAAAACCTCTGCACAATTCTGGCAAAATTGCCTGATGAAGCTGGATGCAATTACCAGCATACTCAAATTGTACAGGTTGTGGGTTTGCTCTCCAACGCACCGGTGTGCTGAGGTAGTAACTAAGTAGCATGGTTTATTTTACGTGACAAACCTTACTAATTGGATGTGTCATGATGGTGAAGGGTTAACGACACATTTAGACTTACGTGATCTTATGAAATATATTCATGTGATACTTCAGAGATATCTGGGAAAGCTCAGGGGGCTGATACTGCACCATATCAGACCACTGCTTGGTTTGAATGCTGCCAGTGACCTGCAATTAAACTAGATTCATAAACGTAGTGAGTTCATGCTCATTAAGTAATGAAGAGTGGAGTGGTGCTCCTCTCCATTGGCAACCCACAGCCAGAGGTGGAAATTCTACATTCGTATGGCTGGGGCAGTCTCTCCAAAAAGACAACCAGATATTTAATGATGATGGGGAAATTTTGTAAAATAGCAGAGATAACAGGTAGGTATAGATGCAGCCTTGGAATTGTTTTCTCGTGCCACTGTTAACGGAGGGGCCTCTTCAAAAGGGAGCTCTCGAGAGGATATTTGGCCTACTCTTCTACGCTTCCCAGACCTGTACTTTACCCCACCACATGTTACCCTTATGTTGAACTTCTTTGACACTGTACACAGCCAACCGTGCCAATCGGAGGTGCGCGGGAAGGACAACAAACTATGCACAAAAAGTAGAAGTTACAGCTTCTACGTCTGCAGAAGCGCATCTGAAAGTGTGTGATCCAGTGATCGTCTTTGTTCGATGGCCAGCTAAACTGACGAGGTGTGACGTTACCCATCTACTGTATACTGCTGGACAGCCAGAGGTGGAGGAATTCAAGAAACTGGCGCCATTGTTTCAACTTCTACTGCCGTGCTGTACCTACATATGTATATGTACTGTATTTATGTTCGGGAGCGGTAGTGTAACGGTTAGCACGTTGCACTATGAACCACGGCCAACACCGGTGATGAGACGATAATCTGAACTGGTCATGGGCCTCCCCTAGGTCGACTCAGCCTCAAATTCGTACCTGGTGCAGTGTCTAAACATCGCCACTGGGGAGACAAAAGCAGTCGGGCGTGGTGCTGGCCACCCAAACCCATCGTTTGCCGTGCCGGCCTTCATAGGTGCTCGCTAACAGCACTCGCCCCAACAGTTTGTTAATGCTATTCGGGGCATCTCTGTCGTCTTCATATTCATGTTGAACCTCTTTCACACCGTACGTAGCCAACCCTGCTAATCGGAGGTGCTTGACCCTTACATCCCTCCTACCCCCAGTGGGTGGCGAGGCGGTGGGTGGGGGGGGGCTTGCTCAGCCGCAGTCGAGCGACGGCTGCTCCGAGCGAGGGACGGCTGGCGCCCGCTCGGCTGCCTCACCTTGGCCACTTTGTCGTAGACCTCGGTGGCGCGAACCCAGCTGCAGAGGCCCTCGCACGCCGAAGACACGTTACGGATCACGTTCGGCTGGAACTCTGGGTTGCCGATGTAGTCGCGGCGGACCTGCGCGATCACTTTCGGTGGGATGTTGTCCTTGTCGAACTCCTGCAAAGTTGGGAGGAAAAAAAATATAACCGAAGAAATATCATCTTTTTTATATATATATAAAAAACGAAGTAGAAAGGAATACTAAGCTTTTCGTTTTGCCACCCGCTCAAATAATATCCAAATTGTGCTTTCAGAGTCATGGCACGAGACACAGCAGGACGCAGTGAATAGCCTGTGGCACAGAATGGCCCCAGAATTTAAAATAACAAAACTACTTTTTGCTTCCATTGACCTCTCTATCCACGCTTGGTGGGGGGGGGACACTTTTTGTACGTGCCCTGCAAAGACTGTTCATCGTATGTTGATCAAACAAAAACATATAATGCTTAGAACTTAAATAAGCTAAATTAAGCGAAACAAAAACTAAATTCAATGTGTTTTTTTGTTGTTGTTGAGTCAGTTATTGGTGATGGGGCAGAGACCATTTCACTTTAGAGCATGGTTTAATCAAAGTAAAAAAAAAGTCATAGGTCTCAGGATGGCTTTTCGTGATAAAAAACTCACATTAATATAAAATGTTTATTCAGTCACTGAGATTAACTAGTTATTCACCTACTGGCCCTCTCTGGCCAATGCATTTATTTACACAATGTATAATTGCAAAAGTTCCCATTTTACTGAGCCTCATCAGCAAAGTGTGGCTGAATAAGCAAATGCCACTGGAGACACTGATGTAAGTGGCTTGAGGTCTCGACAAAATGCGGAAGCCAGAATATTACCTAAAAGCTAACGGTCAAGGCGCAGCCCTGCAATTACGTGCTCGCACCGATGTTGGCAGAAGGGTATCCACAAGCGGGAGCTCTAGGGAGCCTCTCTAGTGGCTATTTTGGCCTACTCTTCCATGCTAGCCGGACATCTGGGAAGAGGTGGGAGGACGGACACTTATTTTAAACATGCATTTAGAGTATATGGCTGCTATAAATTTCCACATGATAAGGCACTTCGTTAAGCTATCATTTGTTGCCAGGTCGCTTTTGAAAAAGAGCTGTAGAGCTCAATGGGCCTTAACTGGTAAAATAAAAATAGTTCAGTTTACTCCACCATGCACGACCCTGCCGATCGGCTGTGGTGTTCCCGATTTATACTGCTGAGTGGACGGAGGTGTCAGGATTTAAGAAGCATGCGCCATTGTTTTAATTGCTGTACCGGGAGATTGAAACGGCTGCCTCTGGATTGCAAGTCGAATGTGCTAATTATTATGCCAAGGCAGCATCCTCAGCAATGGTAGGACATAGCAAACGACAATAATAAGAATGAAGAACCATACTCTTTGGTTCTTTCGGTAAAGTCGCGTAGAAAAATAATAATGGATCACGACATTTCGATCGCCACACAAGCGGTCGTCCTCAGGTGGGAAAGAGAAACAGGCTGCTGAAACAGTTCCTTATCTCCATATATATAAAAGGCAAAGTTGTGAAAATGTGTCTGTTCAAATTGTTTAGCGTACTTCCCGACATGCAACAAACAGTAAATTTGCCATGTGGGTACTTTCCAGACTGTACACCATGCAAAAAATATAAAAAATATACTTTTTTTTTGGAGGGGGGGAGCTCAATAATGCATAGATTTTTTGCACGGCAAGTGAGCTGTGACGTCAAATCTGTCACGTGACCCGCGCATGTGGAAGCGTAACGCATTGTAGTGGAGTGGTTAGCGCGCTGTGTATGTGTCTGTGTGTGTGGAAGCGTAACGCATTATTGTGGAGTGGTTAGCGCGCTGCGCTACGAACCCGGCGACCCGAGTTTGATTCCCGCTCACGGCCACCACCGGTGACGATTATTTCAATCGCTTCTGGGCATCCCCTAGGTCGACTCAGCCTCAAACGAGTAACTGCTGTGGTGTGTGAACATTGCCACTGGGGAGACAAAGGCGGCCGGGCGTGCTGCTGTCACCCACCCCCTCGTTAATAATAAATCATTAATAATAGAGCATTAATGCCTCGTCCACAGCAGTCTGATTCTCTCAACTGAAGATGTTCGCTTGTTATCATATATATAAGGACCTGTTTCAGCAGCCTGTTTCGATCGAAACGTCGTGATCAATTATTATTTTGCTACGTGACTTTACCGAAAGAACCAAAGAGTATGGATTCCTGCAGTCACGAAGGCTTCAAATCAAGAATGAAGAACCAGTTTCATTCATGGAAAACCCAAAGGCTTCATTCAATTCGGTGAGATCCTTACAGAAAACATTGAGAAAAACAAGACAGAACCAGAGAGAAACCGAGAAAGACCTAAAAAACCGAGGCACAGCAACATTTTGACTGTTGCCCAGGCAAGCGCGAGTTTACTTATACAGAAGAGGGGGGGTTACCAAATGAGTTTGCAAAGCAGCACTAGGCTAATGTAGAGACGTCTTGTGACCTACATTTAATTCTCTAAAACTATTTTTTGTTGTTTAAGGTTGATTTAAAACAGAAATAAATATGCAAAGGAAAACAAACGTGAGGGGTCAATTAATTGGGGGGTCACAAGACATTTGGACGACCCTGTACACTAGCTTAATTCAATCTGGGACAGATATTAGTTTCCCACTGTCATGAGTAAAGAAAAACATTTTGGAGCTGATCCTTACACGAGACCTGAATCATAGGTGGCATCTGCCAATGAGGCACCCCAATCATTAGGGCTGAGTGAATTATTTTCAACAGGTAAACATCAAACGACATCGCAACGGGCTGAGAGACAACTCAACATTCTGAGAGAAAAGCAACTGTGAGTCTCAAGGGTACGGTAATCCTTGAGACTTGACACGCACGCGGTATCATATATGGAAACATTTGCATTATGACAGACAGAGAACAGGATTTTGCATCATTTTCCACTTCGCTTTCTTTTTCTTAAAATGCTCAGGATGACCTTGCCGGCTCGCATCGCGAAGACCCTTGAGGGGCAGTTATCTACGGAGGACACACGGGTGCAGGTCTACGTTGCACACATTTTATCTTTGCTGCTGTCAAGCCCCCGGCAAAAAAACAGTTCCTGACAAATGAAGAGGATTTAATTACTGAGCGCTACCTTCAGGGATTCCAAAAACTTCATGTCTCCCAGCATTTTCTTGGACGATGGCCAGTAATCGTCCACCGTCTTGCCATTCGCATCGGTCTTCTTCTCCGGTTTAATACCCTGAAATAAATAGGCAAAGCGTAAATTAAACAGGTCAGTTCCATAAAAAAATAGCAACGTCAAAAAAAGGTTTGTGAAAAGCAATCTATTGCCCTCTAGGAAATCACGAAAAAAATGTTTTAATTAAGATGGGATGATAGGGCATTGTACGTCAGAATCTTTTTTTTTCTTGCGAAAATGTTCAATTAAAGCGTTCAAATGGATGCCAAAACACGTTCAAGATGCTGCTGAGCAGGACATGGCGTAGAGAATGCTTCTCCGTGCACTCCAAATGTCACTCCTCAACAAGCACGTGCTTAAACAGAGTGTGTTAGTCAAATGCTGAAAGGAGTACACTTAAAATAGCAATTACTGCACTTTGGAATCTGGTCATGGGCATTAATTTGAACACCAAATCCTGACGTAGAAATACTACGAGGAAATTACGGCTTTAGCGCTGTGGTTTGTATTTTAAATTTTCAGTTATAATTCGATAAAAAAAATAGAACTGTCAAAATATGCGAGTGAACGAACTCTGTCACATGGGACACACACACACACACACTGAAGATCTCCCCTTTGTTGAGGTGCCATGCCCTGGCTTTCCAGAAGAAGGCGGTACAGTAAATCTGGACTCCACCTGTTCTGCCTGTGTAGTGACATCCGGGATGTCACTGTATGGTGCCGGCCTGAGAGGGCCACGACACGCGATGCACCGTCATCGCGTACACCCCGTGGTGGGTGTAGTCCCAGCCCTAGCGGGGCTTGGTGAGCGCTGGGATAGCGCGAGCACCACACACAGCGTGCGGTGCGGGCTCCCACAGGGGGGAGAGTGTCAGCCGAGGGGCAGGGTTGCTCCGGGCCATGGCACTCTGGTTGGCACCGTAGACACGTGATCTGGAGTGTCCACAGAGAAGGCCCCAGGTGGGGGGGGCTAGGGGTGATCACGTGTCCGGGGGGAGCTCTCGAGAGGGATCGAGAGGGAGCTAGAACGCTCCAGAAGGCGGGCGGGGCCAAGGGCGGAGCAGCCCCGACCCGTGGGGGGATATAAGGTGGGTCCCTGAGAGGGACCGGGGTCGCTGCATCCTACAAGCTGAAGCTGCACGTCCACAAGCTGGAAGCTCTACGTCCTGCAAGACATCAACACGTGGTCGAGGCCCCGAGCGAGAGGGCCCGACCCTTCGTAGCTGTAACTCCTCAGTATGGAGTAGTTAGCTCGGTGGTCACCACCCTAGGCTGTATCTGGTGAAGGGGCAGTTACCCCTTTGTGTTAGGTGTTGATGTTATAATAAAAGTGTTGCCTCCAAAGAACAACGTCTGCGACTCAGTCGGACTCACTACATCTGTATGGGATAGTCCTGCCCCCCCCCCCCCCCGCCGCACGCTTCTGTTTTCTCCAGGTGCTCCGGTTTCCTCCGACGTGCGAACACTCATTAATTGGCCATGGACACCTCCATACATAGAAGACTGCAGAGCTCAGGGACAAATTTGGTGCCTGCTCACCGCCTGGCTACCTTTCCCACTTGTCTGTGGTTCCTCGATCCTCTGGGTCGTTCTCTCTCCACGAGAGTGAGCGAATGCTGATCTGTGCATTTAAAGTTGAAATTATGATAACTTTAAATCAGCACGCTCTGCGCCACACGGGACGCAACCGTACACATATGCACTTCGCGTCTCAATCTTAATTTGAATCAGCACTCTCGATGTCATTCAGGTGTGTTTAGCAATCTTCGGGTGCATCCGGCGTGTAACGACTTAATTTAAATTGGAACGGAGGAGATTGGTAAACATGAACAGACAGAGACAGCGATGGGTCACATGGACTGGAATTTGAGAAACTCTGATGTAGAAAAGTTAAAATGAAGTTCCGTTTCTACGTACATTACTCTTTTCTAAAGCGCTCACAAAAAAGACCCACTCCTACACATAAAGCACCAAAAAGAACGCATTACCTACGTGCGCGAATATATTACGTGCAATACATCAGAGAGAAAAAAACAACCCCAGTTTCTTTAACGGACAACCTGAGAAAGTGCTGCTAGCTAAGCATCTATTTCAAGACAGGTTTCTTATTAGCGAGGGCATTGCCAGCACCACATCGGACTGCAACCGGTGCTGACGTTTACATCTCCTACCAAGATACAGTACTCAATGTAAGGTGAGCCAACCAGGATCACAGCTCGACCAACTCAGACGGCAATTGCGAATGGTGATGTACATTGCTGATGATCATCCACTTGCTCAGGTAGGCTGTCCTGGAAATGTTGTGGCTCTTCCCGCAACGTCAAAAAATGCAAGTGCCTGTTTTCTGTCAGTTGCATAACAATGCACCGCTCAACGCGATGCACCGCTCAACGCGATGCACCACTCAACACAATGCACTTACATGTAGTGCTACCATCCTATTCCGGTATTTTGAGACATTAATTGTCCCCGCGATAAATCCTGGTGTTTTTTTAAACCACTTGGACGCAACAGTGAGGGCGGTTTAACACGTAGGTTTTCACGACCAATATTATCCATAAGAAAGGTTTTTGGCTATAAATCGCCTGATGAAGTGGATTGTAATCACCAGCGAAACGTCGTACTCAAATTGTATATGTTGTGGGCTTACTCTCCAACACACCGGTGTGCTGAAATAGTAACGAATTCGCACGTTTCATTGACGTGCCAAACCTTACTAATTGGCTGTGTAGGGTGGTGGTGGGTTTAACGACACATTTATATTCACGCCATCTAACCCACAAAAAAAACCTTATTATGGACAGTGAGAACGACCGCGTGTCGTGGGGAGAAGGAGGAGGTGGTGGTGCGGGGGGGGGGGGGTCAAAGGCCGACCTTCAGAACGCAGATTGCGGCGAGGGTGAGCCGCACTCCGGACGGCGGGTTCTGCATGGTCTTCACGAGCGTGATGTCGCTCGACTTGAGCGTGTCGAGCGCAGCGATGGCAGCGTTGAGGGCGGGCGTCGCGATGCTCAGCTTCTCGAGGCACTCGTCCTGCATCACGCGCCAGCAACGCAGCCAAGGTGTGCCAGCTATCTAGTAACTCGCTATTTTTTAAAATTATTTTTACCCAGGTAAGGCCCACTGAGTTTTGGAGCTCTTTTTCAGAAGCGACTTGGCTATCACAAGTGAAAAAAAAAACACGGGACCGCGGGAAAAACACGCAAACTCCAAATATATAGGTATCGAACCACTGACTTGCTCCGTGGCACCACGTGAACAAAGCGTGGCCAGTGTGCCGCTAAGCCCATTTGAGCACAAACAATGATCATAAGACTAATGGAGAGTAATTCCACAACGGTTACAATTGGAGTACGACGTTTTGCGACCAATATTATTCGTAGTAATAAAGGGCAATGATGCTGGATGCAATCACCAGCGAAAAGTCGTACACAAATTTAAAATTTTGGTGATTTACTCTCGAACACACTGGTGGGCTGAAGTAGTAACTAATTGGCGCGTTGTTTATGTGACAAACCTTACTGGCTGTGGCGGGTGGTGGAGGGTTACGACACATTTATACCTACTCGATCAAACCCAAAAACCTGTATTATGAATAAGACTCATGCAATTTGCAACGCGCACAAGATTTCATTGATGTAAATGACCGTGACTCCAAAACCAAGTTAAAGATGCCTCTAAATGTATCATAGATGTTGGTGTAGATTGAATGCTGCTGCTAATGTGCAGTGAGATCGTGGCTCCAAACCATGGGGCTGCCATGGAGAAAGGACGCCTGGTCGTGATCATGGTCATGGTCCTTGGTTGTAGAGAGAAGGTTGCGAGTCACGTTGCCGCTGAGAGTTTTAATGTGAGCTGCAGTGCAGGGTGATGGACGTGAAGATAAATACAGTGGACGAGCAAAAGTAGAGGTGGTTTAGTGGCACAGGCAGGCAAAGCTTGTGGCTGACCCCGCTGCTGCTGCTGCTGGCAATGATGAGAAGCCAGTGGAGGGAGTGGACGGAGGCGAGAAAATATCGAATGTGACTGGCGATAAGGAAAAACGTGGCCGAGATGGTTTTGCAAACCGTTGGGAGTTTCTTGAGGTTACTCGATGAAGTTCAAATAGAGTTGCAGTAGTTGAGTGGAGATCCGACTATGCTGCCGGTATTGGTGGTGATGAGTGTAAATAACAGAGGTCCCACCCACCACGTTGAGGAGAGTCTTGTGGAAACAATATCAAATCCAATACATGTTAGTTTTGTGTTGGTTTCATTACATGGGCTTCATATGCTATATTAAATGTATAAAATGGACAAATAAATATGACCGCATGTTTTTAAATGTAATAATAAGCCTATTCAAAATAACTACATGATAGGAAATTTGCATTTATACATTTTGGATTTAAATGTAACCACATCTCTATATGCTCGACAGAACAGTGGGCATTGATATTTTTTACAGAACGAACGAGACAGTCAGCTATAGGCAGAGGGAAAAGGGAAGGCCTTCAGCTTGAACATAAACTGGTGGCAGGGCATCGACAGCACAGAAGGCAGAGGGGAAGGGAGTTGCAGACTGCAGTGGCTGAAAAACAACGCTTCGTATACCCAATTCATGCATGTCACATGAGCTTGAAGAATCGATAGCAATGAAATAACTAATATATCGCCACGCTCCGAATGAAAGTCGTGCAATTCAGATTGTGATAATGTGCTGCATAATGTGCAGTGTTTGGTCACCAACAACCAGTGCAAACAACTGTCATGTTGGCTTTCCCTGGGTTGTCGTTAGGGGCCATCCATTTAGGACGTTACGCATGGAGGGGGGAGGGGGGGTTAACCCAAATGTGTACGCTTGCGTATGGGGGGTCTACTGACAATGTACACATAGGAAACGGGGGGCCTCGATAATAATGTCTACATTGGCCTTCAAATGAGTTAGAAAGTCCGGCGGTGGACGATCCGTTTGCTTAAACACGTTAATATTATTGATCCTTGATCGTTTCTGCGTGGATTAAATATCGGTCGTTCTATAGGATTCGGGGGGGGTGGGGGCATCAAGCGTCTAACGCAGGTGGAGGGGGGGGTGTAAAAAGTACGCGTGCGTACAGGGAGTGGGGGAGGGCTCAAGTTTTGACAGATTTGTTCGTACCTACTAAATGGATGGCCCCTTACACTTTTAATAACTCCGCAATTAAACGTTAACCCAAGTTCAAGTGTCTCCTTGACCAAACACGCAATGGAGATCATGGTTATCTCCAGTGGCAGCCCTAATCCAGTGGTAGAACTTCCACAACCCTTTATGTGGACATCAGTGTGCCCATATGGTGACTGCTTTCGACTTAATTCGTATATACACCTCAGATAAAATAACTTTTTCTTTTAATGATAGATTGCACCAAAGCCACTACGAGTAGTGTACTCTTAACAACAGCACCGACAGCACCTCCCTATGGGCATGGTTGGCTCCGTACGGTGCAGAAGAAGTTCACCATAGCCACAGACGTGCTTAGGGTGCATCTATAGTCATGTTACGCACTCTTTGGATCTTTGGGTAAAGTCACGTGGGTAGAAACATAAAATAAAAAAAATAGTAATGTATCACGACGTTTCGATCGCAAACACGAGCGGCCGTCCTCAGGCGGAAAATGGAATCCCGCAGTGGAACTGTTGAACCATAAATAATAACCACCCATTTTTTCGCCATATAGCATTGTGATATATAACGACTTATGGTTGGTAGCTTAGCTGATTGGAGAATATAGAGTTTATTGATAACATGAAGGTAATTTATATTTTAGTTTTTATTGGTTCACTATATAGTACTGTGAATAGCTCAGATGTGTAGTCATTTCTGTGACCAGTCACCAGCAAATCACTCAGTTATTTCAATGCTAAATTCGCCTAGTTATTTCAATGCTAAATTCTCCTGTTTTGATTTGTACTAAGTGCCTCGGTGAATGTGTATGCTCTGACTTCAACGTAACTATTTCTGTAGCAGTTACAAGCGAATGCCTTAATTTAGCTATTTCAATGCTAAATTCTATGCTAATTCCTTCGTCAAGGCTCTTTGTTCCTCTCACACAGCTTAAAAGTCGTGATCTGAACGTGGCTCTCTCACTCCAGCACTGTCCTACCAGACAGTCTCGTCCCTTCACCTGATGAAGGCCGCTTGTGTTGTGGCCGAAACGTCGTGAGAATATTATTGTGTTATTTTATTTTATCAATTTATTATTTTATTCTCATTCTACGTGACTTTACCGAAAGAACCAAAGAAAATAAAATAACCTTCCCTGTTGTGGCTGCTCTCTCGCTGGTTCAGCAACTCCACTGCTACATTATTTTTGTCCCGCCTGAGGACGACCGCTTTGAGTTTGCGATCGAAACGTCGTGATAAATTATCAGTTTTCGTTTCACTAAATTTTTCTACCCACGTGACTTTAGCGAAAGAACCAAAGAGTATGGATCCCTGCAGTCACGAAAGCTTCAAATGTAGTTATATAACTCTTAACCAATCAGTAGCACCGCTATGGAGAATGCAAATAACAAAATAGATAATCAGACGCCTCCTTTATACAGCTCTGTCTTCACGTAGTAAATGTTAGTACATTTAGAGCAAACCTTCTGGGAGTGCATAATTTTTGCAGCACTTGTTAAAAGAGAAGCACGTTCAGGACTGGATTCAATGCACATTGCCTCATTAGCCCTGCTTGAATCAGACTTTCTTGAATCAATGCTGGTGAACTGCCAGATGTTACAGTATATATTTATGCCGTTATACTGCATAGTACACACAATCATTATGCACTGCCATCGAGTATTATTGGTAAGGACAAATAAAGGCAGCATTCCATTCTGTATCTCCTCATACAAATAAAGAAAACATTTGTTTTTTTCTAAAACAATCCTGACGCAGCTAATTAGAACTTAAAGGTCGAAACTGCTCTATATATTTCTTGTTTAAACAAATGCTGATGAAGCTTTGGTGACTGCGGGAATCCATGCACTCTAGTTCTTTCGCTAAAGTCACGTAGATGGACAAAATAATAAAAGAACACGACGTTTCAGTCGCGACACAAGCGTCCGTCATCAGGTGAAGGACGCTTGTGTCGCGACCGAAACGGCGTGTTCTTTTATTATGTTTTCTTCTATCTATCTACGTGACTTTAGCGAAACAACCAGAGAGTATAAACAAATGCTGATTAATAATATCGGTCTGGACGAAAACATGTTATTTACATTGAATGGGTTCTGATTATTATTAAATTGACCTTTTGATGTTGCTCCCAACTGAAAGCCCGCACCAAGGCTATCGTCTCGGTGCCATTCACCAAGTTCTCTCACAGCTATTGCCCCTCTAAACCACTCCAAAGTATCTCGTTGTACATAGTGCTGCAGCTTGATAATTTATTTGCATCATGAGTATGATTGTTTATACCCAGGGAAGCATTACTGAGTCTTTTAGACTCCCTTTCCAGGAGGCTCCTCTCGAATATTTGTAAGAGAGGTGACGTTGCTATGTGTGATCCCAAGTCAGTAATTTTAACGTCAGCAGCTTTCGGGCATTGGGATGTGCGTAACGCAATATCGGCTGTCGGAGGAAACAGGAGAGCCCGGAGGTCAGCCATGCAGAACAGGGGGACAGAACACGACTCCACGGAGAAAGTGGGGAATTAAGCCTGGGCCCTTCTTGCTGCGAGGCCATGTCAATCCGAAGAACATTCACGACACGTCCATGTTAAGTCACGTTTACGAATACAACGAGCGAGCGAGCGAGTGAGCGATCGTGCATTTTTCAGCGACGCCACGGATGATCGCGATCGCTTGGCATGGATGCCATGTCGCGCAGCTCACTGTGGTGTGTGTAAAGTCACCGACACCACGTGAGGGAAAGGCAGAGCGGCCTCCCTGTGAGCTTCTGGAAGCAAGGAGCCAGGCTGTAGTCATGGGATAGACAACGTGATGGATCAGTTTGGCCAAAGAGCCCGTTGCGTGCCCTTCCTTGTGTCTTTAAGTCAGTTCTTGTTTGAATTATTAATGACAAAGCGT